TACGAGCACACGAGAACGGCAACTGGTACGAAACCTTATCGCTCGTCCTCTTAGGTATTCGAACGAGCTTGAAGGCAGATATACGATGTTCCGCCGCTGAAATGGTATACGGCACGACATTGCGTCTGCCCGGAGAATCCTTCACACCACGGAGCAGACCTAATTTCGGTAAATCAGACAACGTCCGTCGACTGTCTGCATTTATGTGAACGCTGTCTCCGGTGTCAACTCGAATACAACATCGACAGGTCGCTCTCCCTCGAGAGTTATCTACCTGTTCACGTGTTTTTGTACGAGTAGATTCGGTACGCAAACCTTGGCAACAACCTTACGAAGGCCCTTTTCGCGTGATCGCTCGTCACGAAAAGACCTTCAAGGTTGATCGACATGGACGCGTCGAGATCGTCAGCGTTGATCGTCTCAAACCAGCACACGTCGATGACAGTGCCCTATCTGGTAACCTGAGATTCAATGCTAGACCTATTAAACCTACTAGCGGGATCCTCAAACCATCTTCAGGTCCCACGCTAGATACATCTGAGACCTCATTCTCACGTCCCAGTCAACAGCACGCGTCATCTGCACCGTCTACGGACGAGACGACAGTCTCACGTCCAGATCAGCAGACCACGCCGCCCTTGACTTCGGATGAGATTGCAGGCTCACGCGACGCGAACGAGACTATCGTCTCACGTTCCGGTCGCCGAGTACGGTTACCCGTACGCTTCCTCGATTAGTCGCACAGTCGACAACCGATACGGTGTAGGATTATTCCTATGCTACTTGCATGCTACACTCCTCTTTTTTTGATTTTCTTTTTGTTTCCTGAGCCCACGCCTTCGACCATCTCCGTTTGGTTCCGTCGACTTCAGTCAACTTTGGCGAAAGCTGGCCTGATCACCCACGCTCTTGTCAACGTACTCAGTCGATATATTGGTTTCGAATGCTTGGCATACGCTTGGTCTCGAACTTGGTCGTTACGGTCACTTCTGGTCTTTTGGCTCAACGTGGTTTCGTCCTTCGTCTGCAGCGTTCCTGGTCCGCATTCCCTACGAACGCCCTCTTCAGATTCTGGATACAAACCACTCTCGTGTAGCATGCCAACTCGAGCAATCAATACAACACATCGCTCCTGGTACCGTCCTCCGAAAACGACCTTCGTTGGCAACTCGACGATCAACGATCGCTTTCCTGTTCGCCAATTCTTCCGTCCTACAATCGCTCGTTAGCCGATCAGTCCCACGATTTAAACCGCTATTTATCGAAAGTGTTAACCCTTTCTAGCGGGGGGCTCCTGTAGTGACTCACATTTATCACGAGAACACGACTGGTTTAGTAAAAACAATTATTATTATAACCAACTGTACCAGTGTTTGTTTTAACGTGCTTTTGTTTGACTGTGCTAATGACAGCTATTTTGTGCTTCCATTCTTATACTTACACTTTGATTGTAACTTCGCGCGAATTCGGTTACGTTCTGTAACCAAGCTTGTATCCTGGCACGATCTCGGTATTCTTTCGATGCCACGAGATCGCCAGCAAATAAACATCGACTTGGTCCATTAATTGCCTTCTGATATTTGGCTTCTCGGGGATTTTATGGAGTCATTTGGAACGAGCTTCTTACGCCTTCTGATCTAATTGGCACGTGTTTCTTGGTAGCGGTGTTCATAGTTAATCTCAACTCGACGCCACGCTACAATTGGTAATCCCAATACGAATACAATTGGTAATCCCAATTCGACTACAAGTTTTTGGAAGCTAACTGGGAATTCGAAGTGAATAAATTTCACATGTTTTCATTACAATCCTCAGGTAAACAAGAACCCTTGCGTTCAGTAATATCATAAATGTGGTTACTCCTCGACATATATTTACGTACACCCCAGTAGAATGACTAAAATCAATAACAACAAAATCATGATTATCCAGCATGTGGGACTGAGTACTTCCCAAATTAAATTTGCAATATCAGATTGAAATATCATAGGTTTATAGGGGTCACTTGTCTTTGAGGACATATGACAGGTATTAGATGTGACTGGTTAGTCTGAGACTAATTTGTATTGGCCCTTCAGAGGCTAGAACACAATCGCTGGCCTTTTAAATGAACTTATGGTATGGTCAGTGTGGGTAGGTAATGGTAGCCCGTCACAAATTAAACTATAATATATGATATGAACTTCAGGAAGAGATTATTTGAAACTACAACTTATGAAGGACCTTTAAATTATGCTAAAGTTTCCTGAAAAAGTACTGCTTTAGAGGGATTCTGTAAATAAACTATCGGTTATAATGGAACGAAGACTGATGCAATTGGACGCAAACCAGAAGATAGAACTGCAGATAACGATTTTATTATCTACTAGCAAATCCAAGACCAACCGATAGAAATTTATAGACAATGCATTGGTTTATATCTTATTCGTTTGTGGTTTGATAGACAGATTTAAGTGTAGTGAATCAGGTATCGCTCGACACAAATCAGTAAAAAAACCGAACGCGTGTTTACATCTCACAACATCAACAGAACAAATTGATTTATTTAGAGAATAAAGCCAGTTTACCGTTTCATATGATCACAGTGAGCCATTATCTTGAGACCAAAACCCACTGTCGCAAGGTCGCATTTAAGAGATACAGAACACCAAGGGTTTTAAGATGGACTATTACCGAGTTGGACAGTACTCTATTCACCAAAGTATACACAACCTTAGTGAGATCTAGACTTGAAAGCTTGATTCCCTCTGGAAGCTTCTGTTTGAAAGCAGGATCCGATATCTTTGAGAAAGGACGCATCTTACCACGCAGTTCCAGGTCTCTAGCTTTTGCCGTGCACGGAGTGGCTTAAGAAGCAAGACCACTCAACTATGGCTCACTGCAGATTAAGAGATGATTTGATTCCGATGCATAGAATAATAAGAAATGATTTTTGACCTGACATACCCTCTCTTTTTTTTTCCTACTAGATAAAAAACTCATAGGATATAGCAGAAGAGTACAAAAACCAACAACATACGAAGTACCTGTGGCATACAAGTTTTCACACCGAGTCGTCAATTCTTAAAGCCCCTTGCCCAAAGAAATAGTGTCAAAAACTTTAATCGACTGATTCTACAGAAGACTAGTGACTAGAAAGGGACTTCTGCCTTCATTACACAATCCTGACATCAATACATAAATTTTAAATAGTTTAAAAGCTACTTACAAATACGAGCACTTGTAGCAAGGTATTTAGTTGTCCGGCAGAGGACTTGGCAGTGAAGAACTTAATGAGCAAATCCTTAAAATGCTTCAGATATTTCTGGAGTCATTTCTGCACGTGAAGACTGTGTTTCACTGAGCATTCAATCACCCAGACAGAAAGTATTCACAACAGAAAAGCAACACTGAATGCAGGTAAAACATTTTACAAGCCAAAATAATGGAAAAAAAACATAATAAATATTATGCACATGTTGGACATTGTCATGTGGTCTCAGTGATCTTCCACAAATAACCAAGGATATCTACCTTCTTGATACTATATTGGAATATCCAAATCCTTCCAAATATACGTATTACGTTTACACCTTGCTGACAGACAACCACGACGCACACCAAAGAAACTAGCTAAAGCGAAGCATAAGACTTAATCGGAAATAATCACATCCACTCCCGCCAGAATACCAATTTCATCATACACGGGCTCAGCCAAACACATAAATATGGGAGCAACAACCTGAATTTATACACCAGAAAAATTACCATAAGTTCCTAACACCTCAATATCTGTTAATAGTAGGGAGGAGTGGTTGAGTGCTTGGAAGGGAACTGGCATAAGCACGGCCCCCAAAACACTGTAAAGGGGGGACAAAGATGTTAAACAAAACCCCCTGATTACATTTAATTTCGCAGTGTTGGGGAAGGGCTTACTGGAAAGTAAAAAATCCATTGATTAAAACAGTGAGGCAAATCCTGTACAATGCTGGGAGGAAGTATGGATTCAGCCAAGCTATCCCACCTGTATAAGGGGCGGATAGTAGCAAAACGTCAACCACCTTCACTAAAGGTAACTATGGACTCAGCGCATGTTAGACAGGAATGTTTACTGACACGCTGAAGACAATCTGTTAAGCAATTCCCTCAAATCCAAGTTAGACACAACAAACCACTGGCCGTGGGAGATGCCGCTAGAGGAACGGTAAGCGCTAAAAAACCCATCACAATGGTGGTTCACGGAGCTAGCAAGGGAGTGGTAGTCAAGATTGAACCCACGAACACGATATGCAACGGTGGTGTTAGTTACCAGACAACTCTACAGTAACCAGAATGTCCGGGTTACCTCTTCCGCCATACTTCACGACCAGCAGGTCTCAGCGTCTGACAACTGCGAACTTCAGAAACCAAGATTATCTAACTGAGGCCCTTCAGTCTTGATCCAGCTCGAAAATTGACCTTCAAAGCCATATCATGTGCTGTGAGTCGACCTAAATCTGTGAGGCTACAGTAGAAGAGCCCAGTCAAATACACACAGGCTCAGTTGGCCTTGGTCAACAACCCACTGTACAAAACACAAGGACTATAATTGTGCTAGTGAAACACACACACAACCTCACTCAAACTACAAGATATATGAATTCACAAATGACTACCACACTGATTCCAATTACTGCAGTTAGGTAGCTAGACTATCAGCCATTGGAGATTATAAATACCTGTAACCGCACTGAAATGACTAGAAGCGAGTTCAAAGAATTCGACTAGCTTAAATAAGCTCGTACCAAAGATATTGGACTCTATTCTTTGCGATTAGGAAAATTTGCACGTAGAGTTTCACTTCCTCACAAGCTTTCAACTGTTTCTTCAAAGTGAGATTTTAGCATTTACCCATCCATTTTAATGTAGGTTATCGATAAGTTACTAAATATAATTAAGTCAAATTTTTCACGAGCGGGATTTTTGGTATTAAGAGTTGAGGGCGCCTATTCTGATCCTGATGAGCCGTCCTGATCCGGGTTATGGGCCTTGTTCTAGCGCTGCAGCATAGCTATTCAAACCAAAGTAGTAATCCAGATTTGGATTTTAAGATTTTTAGAGGATGGGGTTTGTCTTGAGACTTCTCAGCTCTCGTCGGAATTTGTTGACTTACATCACTTACCAGCTGAGCTTGCTCTCAATATATTGTCGAGGCTCAATGCCACTGATCTATATCTAGCATCTTGTGTTTGGTATGATCTTGCTTACGATGAGGTGTTGTGGAAGAGGTATTTTCTACTCATAAGGTAATTTTCAGTTTGTGCAAAGCTTCGTGGCCATTTTGCTCGGCGTACAAGAATGGCGTACTTCAGTCTGATCCGTCATTCCGTCGATTGTACCTTAAGCTAGATGAAGCGCGTTTGACATTTAATGCAGACGCCTTTGAAGTAAGTTCGACTTACACGAGCATTTTTCAGGGTATGGGGTACATCTTCAGACATCGTCTTGTTGACGATAATACCGATGATCTTGTTAACTTTTTCCACTATGCTTCCGGATTAGATCCATTCCAGAAGCGTCGATATCTGGAAACGAGGTATGATTTACTTCCAGGATAACACATGCTTAGGCCCCAGGTTCTACGCGGACTGGTGAATTTAAAAGATTTCCGGAACTATTCATTACCAAATGCGTTAAGAGGTCTTTTTACTGAACTGCCAGTACAATCATCAGAACCTAGCGCGTCAGCTTTCATTCACCTGTTGGTCGGTCTGTTTTCCGAAAGATTTACTCAATGCAATCCAGATCTTGGGATCACACGTGGTATGTGTTAGAGCTTGTCGTTTATACATTACATTGTTTGTTTATTATTCGTGAAAAATTGTGAATATCCCGTTTTTGACACAATAAATTTGTGTAAGGTAATTTCTGGAGAATATTAGCTTTTTGATTCAGTTGACGCGTATGACTTGGGCAATTATGAATCAAGCTTTTTCAGTACCGTTATCATATGCTTCGCAGATAGACTGTCAGGCTTTTTTAGTGAGGCAATGATGGTAAAATGGCTCATAAAACAACTTTGAGTTTATAGGTATTGTTTATGAAGCGATTTTCGCACTAACCTCTAGTACATATCAAACATATTTAGATAAAACACGGAACATATGTTATTGTCAATTGATGACTTGGAAAATAGTCTAGAATTTTACTGATACAGCACTAGAGTCATTACTGATACAGTTCACATCCTGGTTTAGCTAGGTACCATAATAAGGAGATAACGTTGATAAGATGCAAAGTAGGGGATTATGTTCAACAGAAATGACCGTATGTACAGCAACCCCACCGCCCGCCTGAAAATAAAAATATCTTACTTGGTGATATATCTCAGTGGTAACTAATATTGTTAGAGAAGTTGAACGGGGCTAGCCATTCTACAATTTGGAACATGTACTTATCACTCATGGCAACCAAACGTAATTGCACCGAAGTAGTGAGTGAAAAAATCAACATGAAAATTAAAAGCTAAAATACTATCGATAGTAAGGAGTAGCTAAATAAGTAGGGAAAACAGTCAAAGCAGTGCAATGTACAAAATATGCAGAGAAATGACAATCATATCATTACACGTTCATCAGAATAAATGCTCTCGTATTATGATATGTGTTACAACTACTGTCAACAACGACGTTTCACAAACAGGGATGCATCTGATGTTTTACAATTATGGGAACCTATATTTTACATCCGTTTACGTTTTTATGTTTACCACGATGATAATATTAAGGGATTATTTATCGTCACCGAAACTTCAAAGTAGTCTCAGTAAATTCAATCTGGGTAACCAAGATGTGTGATGCTTCCTACCACCAGAAATAACACTATGCTCGTATGTCTTTCTTAGTGGTCTTTATCCTCTAGTTATATAGAAATTCCCAGAAAGTTGTTTAGAGCTTGACACTGAACATTTTTATTCAGTATCTTATTACGGTATAGAGAATTCATCTAGTAAATCCACTGCTTAACAGATGCTAGATAACTCGTAAGCATTATTTACAGTTCAGTCTGGTGTATAAGACAACTGAAAATACATTGATTAATACTGCCACTAGTATTTCAGTCAATCACTAGTATTTGGCTTTCAGATTTTAGTTTTCTAGATATACAAAATTGTTAATCTTATTTATGCATTTAAATACACATATGTTGGTATAACTGGCCACGGCGCGCAATGCTGGCTAATGTTGGGGATTGTTGGGAGCAAGTTAGGGGCGGCGAAACCAAAACGTGGCATCAGTGCTTGAAGTCACTAACTTTTGATCTGAGCCATGTTGGTAGATGCAGACCGCTTGGTTGGGGTCCGCTTGACTATCGCAACCAATGGTTAGAGACTGTGTGATATGGCTCAAAATCGATCACAATGGCGTCGGTGTATACACTCTGTCTTCCTTTAAACTGAGATAAAAATTGCTTTATATCTTTCTTTCTACGAACTAATTCTTTCTTACTGTACTATATCCTTATATGCAATCTTTCCTTTATATATTACACCATTGACTTAATTGCTTCTATCAATCTGGTGTTCATCTTGTTGTGCTAATGAGGTGTGGCAACTTGGACCGATGCACATACATGAATAGTCCAACGTTGTAGCTGACTGACTGATAAATGGCTACCAAAATAAATATACATCACGCGAATGAATGGGATTGGGAAAAGACGGATGGAGGGTAAATATAGTGAAAAAAATCAACGAGTGGAAATAAGTGAACGATAGTAGGATGTAGTGGGAGAAACAGCGAATTTAAAAAATACAGCCATGAGGAATCTTTTCAATCAAAGAAGTTCCTTTTATTTTCATTGGGAAAATTTAAGAAAATTGGTGGCCCCTCACTAGCTTCTTTCTTGAGCTATGCTTGATAACATCTCAAGTCACCTAGTTTCACTATCACCCTCAACCTTACCAGGAACTACATGCCATACCTACAAACAGTAATTTCCAACTGGTTAAGTAGGAATAGCAAAGCTTGAGTATCATCACAAAACAAGACAATATCATCCACATATATTCAGAATAGAAGTCCCTCTGCAGGCAACAGATCCACACCTTCACTGCCTAATTCCATATCTGTCTTCAGAATGTCATCATTGGCAAAATTGAAGCGGAATGGTGAGATTGCACAACCCTTCCTAACCGCCCCCACTGCTCGAGTAAAATAGTAGTGAAAAGTTGTTTTTTGTCTTCTGTCCTCATGTGTTTGTGTATGGATCCTTCAAGATGTTAGTAAGCTTGCCAGTTATACCCTTATTCAACAGACAATCCCAAACAACAGTTCTGTCCAACAAGTCGGAAGCGAACGCAATATCAACAAAGACAACGACGGTTGGCCTAGGCGAAGTATGGCAGTTTCCTAACATTTAATGGAGGGTAAAGATATGGTCAGTACATTCTCAACCAGAACGAAAACTAACCTGCTCCTCATGAGCCGGTCTTTCGCGTATTTTAAAAAACCTATGAAATGCAACGGAAGCCAATACTATGAAAGCGATTGAAATCAGACACTCCCGATAGTTGTTGCAAAGATCACATAAACGGTTTGGGGAAACAAGGATGACTGTCACTGCTGAAACACTGATTCCCAAACCTTTCCAAACAACCCAATCGGTCCCCTGACCAGAAGTTCGCTACCACCTCGAAAAATAACCTTGGTTAAGTCATAACCTTGGTGATTTGAAGCGCCTCAGAAGTTGGGGTTCCTTTCGGATTTCCGGTTCGTCGTGTGGACCAGTCATCACCGGTCGTGGGTTGAGGGAACGTTTAATCGATGTAGCTGAGGTGGCAGACCATCTGAGTCGTCCTTCGAAGAACACTGTTCATCCTCAAAGTCGTCTTTGGGTGCTGTTGATTGGTCTCTCATCAGCTTCACAGATTGTTTTACTCACACCAAACTCCCAACTGCCAGCGGCTCGGATGAGTTGAAAGCGCTTCCAGCTGTTATTAAATGTGGCTGCTGGTTCCAAATAGTTAGCATATTCGATCCTTACGTAAGCTCTTCACAATCTTTTTACGTAAGAATCGACGTTTATGGTCAAACTCTCGGTTAGCCGGAGTAGACTAGCATGCCTCAATTAATTGTAAGAAGCCTGGAGAAACCCAGTGTTTATAAGCAGGAGGTTCCGAGGAATCGCAAGCAACTTTACTCTCCATTTTCGTGGCACCATGCAAATGCAGCCAATGTACATCTATATTTTTAGGTTTGTTGATAGCTAGCATTGAACCTAGTTTGATCTGATATTTAGTTGCAACAGAAGCTGAAACCAATCTGCTTAAGTTAATCTGTTTGAAACACAAATTTGTTGATTACTAAAACATAAGATAGAACTGGGGCATATGAGTGTATGATCAGAGTTCAAATAAGTAATCCAAAGGAAACAATAGTCTTGTACATGGGCACGTCGACGGTAGCTGATTGCGATACGATTAATCTAAGTCCAGACTTGAGTTGTAGACAAAGGTCTCCAGGTAGCATTTCGATGACGACGGTGCCGAAATTTGGTGTTGTCCAGAAACATGATGTTACTGGTCATCATTCACATGGACCCTGGGACAAATGTACATCAATTTATGTTACTATGCCAAATTAGTACGATAAGTGAAAGTTAAGAAGATAAACAGCAAATGCGTCGAAATGACTTGAATAGTTCTGGCAATGGAAAAGATTAAGATTCGCGAAGAAATGGAGTACTATTAGAACTCAAAATCTTGAGGAAAATAAGAAGTGAATTAATCTTTACCCTTGTCACCAATTCTGATTCTCATTATCCACCCAGTGATTTTAGTTACCTCGAGGATTTCAACTTGGTAGTTTCTGCATTTGCCACTATGGTTAAACTCAGCGGTTACTGGTTTTATCGACTGACTACATGATAATCTGATTGACGTGGAATACAGAAAAATATAGGGATGATTGGAACCTGTTACTTAATTCCTAAGGGTAATTTGACAAAACAAATGATCTATATCTAATCATAGTTTGACAATAAGGTTTAAGGATATTAGCTAGTTTACAATGTCAGAGTTTCAGTGTTTTTGTTTGCTTTGTGGTCAACGAAATGTCGGTAACATATCGCTTCCGTTAAAATTTTTGCCGTAGAGAAAGTGACCACATACATCACAAAAATATAGCATCAACATTATCTATGTCTAAATTCCTTTTCTCTCTGCTAACAGAAAGTACCGTAATTATACTGCAGTTTAGGATCAATTATTCTTTCATCGTCACCCAGATGTATTGTAACCAAGGTAGTGTTAGAAAGTCAGTAACTTAATCCGATTCATAAATCAGGATTAATTGAGGTACTTCTTATGTGTTTAAGATTTAGAGTAGAAACTTAATTGTTTAGTGTAGGAGGGAATACACTTTGGTAATACCACTGCAATGTGACTTTTTGTCCGTGATTAATATAAGTTGGGAAACATTTGTTGGCTGCCGTCGCCTTTATGTTTTTGTGTAGAAAGATTGTTCCATTTTACTTGGTAATATTTTACAAATGGTTCCTTTGCAACCCCTGCTTCGGTTTGGACACCCGGGCAGTATCACGGCTCGGATAGCTCAGTGGTAACGTCTCTGACTGTGAAGCTGGGTGACACGAGATCGAATCCGCCAGGGAGCACCAGTTCCCTCAAGATTACAGGTACACCTTGCTGACGAGTGCCAAGTAGCACGAAACCCGGGTCCAGGGATTCCTGTTGACTACCTCCAACCACCATCTAATCTCAATACATAGTGCCCGCAGTGTCGAGTCACCTAGACTGGTGACCACATTGCAACATGATCGATAGCATTCGATCTGCACTAATAAGGACTAGACAAGCATGAGATTGATCACCACCCAGTGATCAATCAATTGTATCACAGCCCACACACAAATTGATGAACTCTTTATGCCTATGGAAATTACCTTTCTCGCTTTGAAAAACAAACAATTGATTCAGATTATTATCATTACAATTATTGTCATTATTAATACTAATATTATTATTACTACTATTATTGTCATTATTGTTATTATTATCATTATTATTATTATTTTCCACATTATTCACCCTCTTTTATACTTATACAGCGGCTCGTCTTTGGTGGAAATCCGACTGTATCTAAACGTTCTCGAGTCACTCCGGTTGAAAATTGTATGTTACCACCGAATACGAGGACTGAAGCAGATTTTCTGAAACCACGTGCACCATTCAAACTGGCTGCCTTCAACGTTCGCACATTTATGCAGGTCGGACAACAGATAGGGCTGGCTATGTCTTTGGAAAGTCTTAATATCGACGTGTGTTGTCTATCCGAGACCCGTACTCAAGACTCTGGCGAAGTACTACAAATTCGATCTCCATCTGTCGCTTCGAAAAGCTTGTTTTACGTGCGCTTATCCGGGGACCCTGTGGCATCTTCGTCTGGTCTTGCTGGCGTTGGTGTCGCACTAAGCGCTAGAGCTGAGGCAGCACTAGTCGATTGGATCCCCATTAACAGTCGGTTATGTGCTGTTAGATTGGAAAGTTCCATCAAAGTGAGAAGAAATCGGCGTGAGAAACGATGTCTTTTCGTCATCTCCGTCTATGCCCCGACAGATTGCAGCTCGGATGCAATCAAGGATGAGTTTTACCACCAGTTATCAGTTCTTCTCCAGAAAGTGCGTTCGACAGATATTGTAGTACTAGCCGGAGACTTGAATGCTCAGGTCGGGCGTCTAGGCACAGAAGAGAGTCGTTTAGGTGGCCGATGGGGACTCGTTGGTCGCAGGTCAGATAACGGGGACCGTCTACTGCGACTTTGCACAGACCACAACCTGTTTCTGGCTAGCACTAACTTTCGGCACAGTCATCGCCGATGTGCCACCTGGCGTCCTCCCTCTGCATCTCAAGCCTGGACTCAGATTGATCACATCGCGATCAGCTACCGCTGGCGTGGTTGTGTACAAGACTGCCGCTCCTTTTGGAGTACCTATCTGGACTCTGACCATGCCTTGGTCTGCGCCAATCTTGCCTTACTTTTCAGTGGACAACTAAGTGAGCGCCATCAACGGATTGATGTTAGCAAGCTGGTTGCAACTTCTGTTGCAAGTAAGTATCGAACCGAGCTAGCCTCTAGGCTAGCTACCACTCCACCGAAAAGTATAGATGAGCATTGGTTGCAATTGCATGACGCCATGAAAATGGCGGGAACAGTCAGTTGTGGGTTTGCGAAACGTCCCGCTTTTAAGCACTGGGTTTCTTCTGGTTCCTTACAACTCATTGAAGCCCGTCGGTCTACTCCGGGTGACCGTGAGTTTGACCATAAACGAAGGATGTTACGTGAGGAAATTGGGCAAAGCTTGCGTAAGGACCGAGAAGCCTGGTGGTCGATGCGTGCTAATGAGCTGGAAGCAGCAGCTGCATCTGGTAACTGCCGGAAGCTCTTCCAGCTCATCCGAGCCACTGGCAGCAAGAAGTCTGGTGTGAGTGAAACAATCTGCGAGGATGGTGGGATGCCAATCACTAACATCCATCGACGTCTTGGACGGTGGGCAGAATTTTTCGAAGGGCAATTCAACTGGCCTGCTGCTCCGGCAACATCGGTCAGACCGTCCTGCCCCTCATGGCAGGTGACGACTGATCCACCAAATGAGGAGGAAGTCCGCAAGGAACTCCAACTCTTGAAGCGTTACAAATCACCTGGCCCAGATGACTTACCTCCGGCTCTTTTTAAAGATGGTGGTGACTTTTTGATTAAGGATTTGACGACGTTGTTTACAAAGGTTTGGGAACTAGAGAGTGTACCAACGTCATGGAATGAGTCGATAGTTGTCCCTATCTTTAAAAAGGGTTCACGTCGTTCTTGTAACAACTATCGGGGGATAAGTTTACTTCCGATTGCGTCCAAGCTATTGGCTTCCGTCATTCTTCGTAGGTTGTTCAAAACCCGAGAAAGATTGACTCGCGAGGAGCAGGCTGGGTTTCGTTCTGGTCGAGGATGTATTGATCATATCTTCACCCTCCGCCAAATGTTAGAACACCGCCATACTTTTCAAAGGCCAACAATCGTAGTGTTTCTTGACATCAGGGCTGCCTTCGATTCGTTGGATAGGACTGTTCTCTGGGATTGTCTATTGAAGAAGGGTGTGCCTGAGAAGTTTATTAACATCCTGAAAGCCCTATATACAAACACCTCAGGCAGAGTGAGGGCATACAACCACCTCTCTCCATTGTTCCATTCGAGCAGTGGGGTTAGGCATGGTTGCCCAATCTCACCATTCCTCTTCAACTTTGCCATCGATGACATTCTGGAAACAGCTCTGATGAATGTAAGTAATGGTGGTGTGGATCTGTTGCCTGGAGAAAGACTTCTCGACCTTGAGTATGCGGACGATATTGTCTTACTGTGCGATAATGCCCAAGGCATGCAATCCGCACTTAATCAGTTGGTAATCAGTGTCCGTAGGTATGGTATGTGCTTTGCACCTTCGAAGTGCAAAGTACTTCTACAAGACTGGCAGGATTCTAATCCTGTACTAACCCTGGATGGTGAGCAGATAGAAGTAGTCGAGAAGTTCGTGTATCTGGGTAGCTGCATAAGTGCTGGTCGGGGTGTGAGTGATGAGATCAATGCACGAATAGTGAAAGCCAGAGCGGCTTATGCCAATCTGGACCACCTTTGGCGCCTTCGTGATGTTAGTCTGGCTGTAAAAGGCCGGATCTACAACGCGTCGGTGAGAACAGTTTTGCTCTATGCTTGTGAAACCTGGTCTCTCCGAGTTGAGGACGTTAGACGACTCTCTGTGTTCGATCATCGCTGTCTCCGAAGGATTGCTGACATTCAGTGGCAACACCATGTCAGTAATGCAGAGGTTCGGCATCGTGTGTTCGGGCACAGAGATGATAACTCAATTGGTGTCACCATCTTGAAACACCGACTTCGGTGGCTTGGACATGTTCTACGAATGTCGTCCCAGAGAATTCCACGTCGTGCATTATTTGCCGACTCTGGGACTGGTTGGAAGAAGCGGAGAGGTGGTCAGTGCATGACATGGTGTCGTGGCATGAAAGAAAGCTGCAAAGGACTGGCTTGTGTTGGTCCTTCACGGCTCCCTGGCTGGGGTCCGAGAGATGGTGCTACACAGTGGCTAGAGACGTTATCAAATATGGCTCAGAATAGAAGCCAGTGGCGATCCTGCTGTGACCTTCTTTTACTTTCTTCATAAACAGTGGTTGTGTCTCCTTTACCTGAAAGATTTCTTCTGATTGTACCTTTTCGTTCCGTCGTTACTACCACACTACCTTACTCCAATCTCTTCGTCATTGTTCTCTTTTTCTTTTGCGTTCCTTAGTTTTTTTTTCTTTCTACTTCTCTTCGAATTCTCATTGTTTTGTGTGGCGCATATATATTGGCGCTCTCTTGTACCAATATTTATGTGTTCAAATAAATAAAATAAATAAATTTGCAACCACGTTAATAGTGCTTGTAACTAAGACTAAGTGGTGTGACAACTTAGAACAATGCACATTCATTATTGGACTTGTGTTAATCCTTTATGTATTGAGGTTGCCCTCGTGACTCTAAACTAAAAGGCTATTCAGGATCCAGTATTTCTATCAAAATGTTACGTTTTCAAAATTATGTTAATATTGATACGTACATTCTCTTAAGATACTTCGCACTTATATTGTTCCTTAGCAAATATAGTTTCAGATCAGAATAACCATTAACAGATTGTGAATCTTAGCAATGGCTCTTTAGTTAGTGAACTTAATTTTCAATCAATAGATTGTATGCTCGAATCCTTCCGTATCTAATTCGGTTTAGGGAACTAAATATTATAGCTAGCTCTTATAAACAGTCTTGCTCAGAGCGGATTACATAAGCCTATATTTAGCAAATGAGTTAGACTAATTAAATAGGACCACATAGCAATACTTTTGTGTAGTTTTATTAAAATGTTAGTAAGTTGCGTAACGTAAATAAATGTAATCACTCCTGTTCACGTCATGGTTAAGATTTACGGCGCTTTTCTACCTCAAATTTATTAATGATACATCTAGCAACTTGAAGGTAGTCGTAGCTAGATCTGTAACCGTTAACATTATGGAGCAAATATTATTTTATGAAAATACTTCTGAGGTTATTTAATAAATCACAAATGGTTTGATCATTTTAGATGAGATCTATTTACTGTGCTTTTCAATGATCATGTTATCCGTTGATCTCTGGAGCCCATCCATCAAAAATAAAATGTCTAAACGTGAATTTATTCGCAATACAAGACAAGTGGCAACCACAACGTCGGATGAGTTTTTGGGAAACCTATATGATAATGTGTATATTGTTGGGCATGTCGTACTGATCGATTGTTCTGGACCTCCCTTCCGTCATTCTGAAGTTAAAGCAATCCTTGTGAGAAATCAACCTCTGTCATTACCTGCTTTTTAAATAAATTAACCAGTAGTTATTTCATCCACTGTGATTTATTTTCATTATTTTATGCTATTTTTTGTACTTTAAATTATAACGTTAAACATTCACACAATGATTCAGTTCAAATTAGTTAGTGTTGTGTTTTATTTTGACTTGTCAGTTAGTTATTTGTTGGTTAACTAATAAACAACTAGTTTCATATCAAGGCTATTACAGCAATTAGTCGTCAATTTTTCTTTTCATAGTTATTTGTAAACCAAACGAAACAGACATCAATAAACTAGTCATATACACTGTAATCTACCTGAAACACAACTTCATATAAGAGAAGTTAAAAGGCATTGTTAATTGAGTGATATATTATATACGTTCTCATGGATTTACTTAATATTAGTGAAGCATTTTATTTCAAAGTAATACAAATCAACATTTTCCCTATCATTCTATGAAAAGTCGAATCTTGTTCCTTTACATTACTTTTCGAATATACATATTCTATTTATGAGATAGTTCGTTTTTACATTTTCTAATAAGTAAATTTATGTGCATCTTTCCAAGATATATTTAATCGACCACTACTAGATTAGTAAACTTACTAAAAATTCTGATGTACCACTGGTTCATGTAAATGATGGTAAGACGTATAACTTACCTAGTTACTTTATTACCACGTAGTGCCTTCAATGCCCAAGTTGAATCTTGATTAGCTCTTTTATGATCTGAATACTTAAAATTTATGTTAACAGAATTTACTGTGCAGTCTGTATCTAAGAACAATGTCTTAAAGTAAACTGGTGTCCTTGTAACCCATCATCTGTCTTTAAGTAGCTCTATGAAATTGGTAGTCATTTTCATCGTATCACTAGTGAAGTTATTTGTCTTTTGTAGTGTAGGTATCAATAACAAGGTTGGATTAGTTACTTCCGAATAAATTAGGCATTAGGTATCTAGTATTTCTTACAAAAGACTTAACAATGGCTGTTAACACGGTTTAATTACTAAGTACAAGTTATTGTACTCGGATTTGAATCATACTTATTATAAGAGTCACTGATATTGAGCGGCTTCCAAACCGAAGTCAGTTGAACATAAGCAACACAGAAATTGAAGTATATCTGCCTCAGTTCAAGTCACTACGCTGCATCAGCACGACGAAATGAAATTATCATGATAAATACCAGAGTATTAGGAGTTGTAGTATTACCAGTGATGGTAAAGAGGATTTTGTATAGAGATTATTATGGAAGAAAGGATTTATTCGAAGAATAAACCTTAAAAAATAGTTCTAAAACTAGATCATAGAGAAGACGAAGAATGAATTCATATGTGCCATCGTGATCGATTATGAAACATATTACCCATGGTTTGTAATTCCCAATCGCGGTTATCGCCCCGACCTAACCTAGTAATCTATGCTTACCATCAGCTCAGACCGACAAACAATGACTTCATGGACTAATTCCACGTTTTAGTTTGTGGGCATCTAAATTCCTTTCGTTCTATTGCAGCAAACATTGCTCATCAGAATTTATGTGCGAATAATTTGTATCAACATTAATTATTGTTTAGTCTGTCCATATATCGGGTTATCTCTTAGATTCTAACTGGTTTTTTCAAATAAATGTCTTGGGTTCAACCACTATTTATTTACTATTCACTAAACTGACATCCTACTCTGTAATAAGATGTTTGGGTAACTACTTAGTACGTTGCCTTCATACAATAAAGTAAACAACATTGCTCCAAATTCGCTTTTGTCGTTTATATTAAAGACCTTTATATTACAAAAAAGCTGTCCGTGTCACGTGTTAACTTTTTTCTGTTATAGTTGATCTTTTTATAGAAAAAGGAAATTCGGATTATTTTGAGTCACAACAAAGATAAACTAGTATTTTTGAACACCTAATATAGATAGGTTTTTATTATGCAAACTGATAAATTATCCATCACTAAGATTAGTTAGTGTTGACATTACAATTTATAGATCGGTCGCCGTTACTTATATCTATCCTTATCAGTGTAAGATTATCTTTTCCAGTTGTTCAGTAGTTTATTTTTCCTAGCCGTCCCGGGATGATTATAGTATTGGGTTAGGCTTGTTTCATTTGATTAATCTCTACAATCATTGGTGCTTTATTAATAGTGCACTGTATTTAAAGATTTGTGTTTTAAAATCAAATACATATTCCATCGATCTAATAAACAAAAATAGTATTCATCAATAAGCCATTCAATTTTTAAACATACACGAAATGAAACTTAATGTAGTCGATATGATTTAGCAACCCTTAAGTGCTTAAAAAATGTTCAAGTATATATGAAATGAGGCTCTACAGGTTTATACATGTTCACTGTTTGAATTCATCCTACTTCAACTTATTGATTATCCAGTATTGTATTGCCAAACAATCAGTAGATCGGTTAAAACATGGTCTAGTTTACTATGGTAAAATTTCCTAATCGATATATGGACATGAATTGAGAAAGTAACACATTCGATCAATGAAAACCTTGAGTCAGTGATCCTGGCTATCTGAAAAAACGTAAGACATCATGATTTCGCCGTAGCATATGTAAGGACTCTGTTGATAAGTTTGAAAATAAGTTTCTATTCGCTCCCCAATATTACTCAAAGTTCGGACATTGGTACTATTATTTAAATTCATTCTTCCTGACAGTTCCCAGCCACTTAAATGTATCACAACTGATGCAAAGTGGTGATTAGAAGTGGGTAGAATGAATCCTCAATTTTTTTGAGTATTTTTAAATATAAAGTGCCTTGTTTTGCTAGAATCATCGTCTTCCTACAAATTTTATAAATGAAGACGTACTTTCAGATAAGTAAAATTGATGACCTTATTTCCTACTTATTAGTTAGTGGGTCATATGAACAAGAATTTTTTCTTATTGAACATCGATAAGTTCAATTTACTAATCATATGCAATGTTGGTGTGATAATAAAGTTACTTGAATTAATGTTTGCTCTTACTTTTCCACATTTACTACCTGGATTTTTGCCCGCTACCGTCAAGATATACTCCAGTGATGTAGATATTCGGTTTTCTGTCATTGAATCATTGGTTCAGAGAGATGTTACGTGCTACAGTCAAAGGTATTTTTGAGTTCAACATTATGAATATAATTCGATTCCATGAACAAAGCTGGGTAGTATGATTATGCATTTTTCTAACAAACTGTTAAAGTGTATGCTCTTGTTAAAAAGTAAAATAGCTGTTTTTATTATCGTGGCAGCATGATTTCTCGCTCGTATTAAATACCTTTACAAGCAACGTGAAGTCTCGTGATTTATTTCATGTGATTACAATGTGTTATGGTAAGAGAATAACTTTAAGGAATGCTTCTTCGAGTCAGCTGAATTCCAAGTCTACATTAAAACCCAATATTAAACTCATAGGTTAACATGCATGCATAATGAGTTACAATAAATATATTGTAAAGGCAAACAAGTTCGTGCATGAGAACTGCACTAGACTAATCTTGAAATAATTCGGCTCCTTTTACTTTGTCTAGCTATCATTACCTAAAGTCGTCTCATTTTTCATTGAGATAAGATACGTGTCCGTAAATATTTAGCTCGTTTGTTTCACAAAATGTGTGCGGTCCCGAGCACTGTTGGCTGTTTTTCGTTCATTTAATGTGAGTGCATAATTATTACTAGGTATTTCATTCCGAGCTCTCACTTTCACCATATTCTTTTCATTGGACAAGTTGTTTTCGCTACAGTGATGTATCCGTAGAATTCATATATGGATAGCTTCAAGTAATTGAAATGAAGTCAGCGAAAATCATGTGCTTATACGCAGCACTCACTAAATTAATAGGGAAACGCATTTTCATTGAATATTGAGACATGAATAGATAACCTGACAAGTTTTTTTCTCTCGTTTCGATTGTTCACCTATGCATATTAATTTGAAGCGGTATGTTATGAATTTGCAATTGTATTCAGTTAGTTAATAATAAATAAAATTTATTTATTAATTAACTTCAATATATTTCTACTCTGCTTACAAATCGTTCTTAGGATAAGGCTTTACCACAGTTTTGCTTTCAGTTAAACGTGAATGATTAATGTTTGTCTGGGGAACCTATGGCATCTGGTTTTGCTAGTGTTGATGTCGGACTAGGCGCTAAAGTTGAGGCAGCACTATCGATTGGATCCTCATTAACAGTCAGTTATTTGTTATTAGATTAGAAAGCTTAATCAAAATGAGAAATCGGTGTGACAAACGACATCTCTTCCTACGGTCCGAGATTTCAGCACAGATGTGAGCAAGGATGGGTTTTATTACTGTAGTGAACAAGAACACGAATGTAGTTGAGCACGAAATTACAGAATATCTCACTAAAATCTGAGAACCACAGAGTAAATAATTTGCAAAATACCAATCCATCGTCTCAGATTCCACACAAATTGCCTTCCGTTTCCGTTCATTCCTTCTCGATCTTCTTCTGAAATACATTCAATTCCTGACTATCGCTACATAGTACTTACGTAAATATAAGTAGCTTACACCACACTCCAGTTAAATGTTCTTCTACAGAAAATGCATTGGACGGATATCGCAGTACTAGTTGGAGACATGAAAGCACTGTTTGGGGGTCATTTGTGTGACTAATGGGGATTTGTTGATCACAGGTCGGATAACGGTGACCGTCTACTGTAACATTGCGCAGGCTACAGCCTGTTTTTCACTAGCATTAACTATTGGCACAGACTACCTGGAGGCCTCTATCTACAGCTCAAGTCTGGACTAAGATTAATCGTATCGCAATCAGCTACCGTTGACGTGACGATGTACAAGACTCATACGCCCCAGTTCTATCTAATGTTTCAGTAGTCAACAAATTTGTGATTCAAGCAGATTGGTTTCAGCTTCTGTTGCAACTAAATACCAGACCAAACTAAGTTCAATACTAGCTATCAACCCATCAAAAGGTAAGGATTTTCTTTAACCTTTACATGTCGATTTGATCAGTTTAGGATTTTTGATTGGTGCATAATAAACACTTAAGTTTTTTCGTGTAATATCGGTCCTTGTTTTGTCATACAGTAACAATTTTATCCCTAGTCATAACGAGTAGAAGTACTAGATGTAGTAGCCCAGTCATACGTTATTAAACTTATACTTATAGCGGATTACCGATTATCCAATCTTGCTTATGCATAGATTTACATCTGGGAGATCGTCTTGATGCAGTTGTTCAGATGAACCAGAAAAGCCATATGATTTTAGAGACTATATTAATCAAAATGGCTTATGAGTAGTAATCAAAAGAATATATATATATATATATATATATATATATATATAATGGTGCTATGACTGAGGAAATAATCTCAACTAGTAATATCGATCGATGGGCTGTACCTTGAAAAAACCAACAGTTTTTGATAACATCATTTTTTAATGTTAGCTAGCAGCACAAAACATTACTTCTATTTTAATGTCTACCAAAAAGAGATGAAAGTTACAAAAATGAAAACACGTATATAAGATACAATTCTATGGAATAAGACACAACTCTTTCATTTATCAAAATTGACTTAACAAGAATTGGTGGTATACTGAATCGAGTCGAATATTTAATCGCATAAACATGTGGACAAGAATTCAAGTGAAAACAATCTAGTACAGAAAAAAAACTAGCAATGTAAATAAGATACTCAACGTATAGAAGATGAAAAATCAAATAATATAAGGCGCAATAATCTTCGATATATTTGAGAAAACTTGACGATAAATAAGTCTATTTACGAGTTTGGAAGATCTGCAATGGCCTACAATCAAAATTTAAAGAAAGTAATTACTAAAAAGCGTTACACACACATACACACTTATATCAAAGTGCTATAAAAATATTTGGATATGAAATTACGATTTATAGAATTAATCTAGTGTTTATGATCAATAGCTTACTAGAAAAGTTAAAGACTGAAAAGTGAATTTCAAAAATAATTATTAATGTATTGTATTAGGATAGTTATATTACAGAGTGAAAATAATGTTCCTTAACTCTTGCTTTCTAATTATTGATCAACAGATGTCAGGGTTCGGTGAGCATCAGAGTGAAAAATTTAGTAAGAATGAACAAAGTGATGTTTGAATATAGTGTTTGAACAAAAATCAATGAAATAAGAGACTAGTTCGATCTGCCATAATTTTTTTAAAATGTATGAGTTAACTAGTTTAATTTGGCAATTGAGTAAACTATTATTTATGAAGAAACATGGTCAGTATAATAGGGCACCAAGAAATTACCACACTTAAATGGAAGGTCAGTGATACTGCTCAGTTAGAAGTAGGTAATTCTTTTGAAAGGACACAATCATCGAGTGATTGCAAGAACGTCAGAAGTATTGTCATGGTAACCGATGGTGATAGTAGTATCATAAGATGCATGTTATTTTATGATCATGGGATCTGTGACAAATTGGACCAAAACAAATTTATCTTAGGCTTTTTGTTTCTATTGACTGATTGGGTTCACGTGCATTATAACAAAGAAAAACTCAATGACCTATACGGATATATCATTTAGTTGAGCAGTTGTATGGACTTATTTTGTTAGAAGTTATACTTACTATACAGTAAAGAAACAAGAAGTTTGAAAATCGCTATGACTCAAACAACCATAATTGATTAGAAGACATGACAAATGAGGAAAAGGTTGGTGTAAGTCAATTTCAACAATTATATTTGGTTTTAAAAAAAACTTTGCTAATTGTATTAACGTGAATGGCAAATTGGATTTTGTCTTATCAGTTTCAGTATAACTTTTTTATTAGTTTGTTTAGAATTTTGTTGTTAAATCGACAAATTTGTCGGCTGTGAAATTGTGAATTGAATGGAACTATTTGATTCAGTAGTGTACAAGTGTGCTATCAGGAACTGAAATCCAAAATTAATAAATTCAAGTACAAACAACACGAGTTAAACTACAGGAGAAACACCCATACATAATATTTGGGTTGTTTGAGAACTATAAAAAAAGTAATAATTAGTAATAGCATAAATGTGTTAATTTGGTAAATATCTCAGTTGAATTTCAGTGTAGTTACGTTCCAAACGTCAGAATACAATGATGTGGAATTTTATTAAGAATGGTAGGTTTAAAAGAACATTTGGTTTTATCATAAATTAAATACGAAGATGAAATAAGCAGGATTATATCAACAAGTGATGAACTAGTAGAACACAACTGATTGATCACTGGGTGATGGTCAATGTCGTGTGTGTCAAGTCCTTCCTAATGCAGATTGAATGCTATCGAACAAGTTGCAGTGTGGCCACCAGTCTAGGTGACTCGACACTGCGTGCACTATGTTGAGATAAGATGGTGTTTGGAGGTAGTCAATAGGGAACCCTGGACCCAGGTTTCGTGATACTTGGCACTCGTCAGCAAGGCGTGCCTGTAATCTTGAGGGAACTGGTGGTCCCTGACGGATTCGATCCCGTATCACCCAGCTTCACATTCAGAGACGTTACCACTGAGCTATCTGCACTAAGAAGGACTTGACACACATGACATTGATCACCACCCAGTGATCAATCAAGTGTGATTACATCTCAGTCTTACAGGAGGTCGGTCGCGGCCCGGATAGCTCAATGGTAACGTCTCTGTGAAGCTGGGTGAGACGGGGTCGAATCCGTCAGGGCGCACTAGTTCCCTCAAGATTACAGGTACACCTTGCTGACGAGTGCCAATTAACACGAAACCCGGATCCAGGGTTTCCTGTTGACTATCTCCAAACATCATCTTATCTGAACCAGTAGAACAGATGTACATAGATACATAATGGGAAAGGGTATGCTCAGTAAGAAAAGCTGTAGTAAATTCCCAGAAATGTTCGAATACTCTTAGCTATGGTCTTTACTTCTGAGTAGTTCTTATAAAGTCCATCCAAGGAAAGTTAGGAATGAGGCATGACTACATGAGAAAGGCTCTATTAAGTCTATTCCTTTATAATTTCTAAGAGAACGAAATTTTCTTTCCTTCTAAAAAAAGCCAATTAGTTAATATTTAACAATTATCCTATAGCTTAGATTTGATAATTTACAGGAAGGACTCTTGAATGATCAAGTAATGGAACGGGTACGAACACTTACTTGCAAGAGAGTTTTACCTATTTGAGCTGGGGAAGGTGTGACAACAACACCTGCACTTTCTAAAGCCGCCATTTTCTCTTTAGCACCACCTTTACCTAGCGAAATGATAGCTCCAGCATGACCCATACGACGTCCAGGTGGCGCTGTAACACCGGCAATAAAAGATACAACTGGTTTGCGGTTTGGACCCTAAAAAACAAAACAAAAGAGAGGTCAGGAGTGGTTCATAGAAATCTGAACAATCAATTTGTGGAAAGCATTTCAAGCTGTGATTAATGTGTGATGAGTTAAATACCCCTGATGAACATTGTGATTATTAACATAACGCACATTTTTCTAGTACTCTTCTCTATAGATATATTACAATGCGATTACTGAGTAGAGATAACATTATTCTAAATAAAACCCCAGTAAGAATGCAGTTCAGACCAACAGTCAATAACTGCGTGGAATAATGACACCCTTTAATTTGGCTGCCCATAGATTTCTTTTAACCTACTCCTACAACAGCGCGTCGAGGTAGGTGGTGGTTGATCATACGCAGTACAAGTCACAGTTAGCTCATTCGATGAGATTTTACTACCTCATCAACAGACTTGGTACCATTGCTTTGTACCCTGCATCCAAACCTATCATTGCCAACTGGATGGTCCCAACATATTCGAGCAATATTTCGAAGGCAACCATGTTCAAATATCGGTAACCTAAGAATATTCTCTACTTTTAAACGGTACGAAGTAATTTAATTCAACATAAAAGTGAAGTAAGCATGTGAAGAAGTCAGTGTTTGAAAACCAAACAACAAACCTAATTCAATTTACCCTAAGAGGAAGAAGCAAATTTAGTACAGTTGGTGCGTTTGATAGATTTAGATAATAGAATAAGAAGATGAGGTTTCAAAATCATGTGATATATTAGCACAATGAAATAAGAATAATAATCTGATCACACATTACTACCGACGGCATATAGGTCGACTAGACAAATTGCAGGATAAGAGAAAAACAAAAATCATAAGATGCGAATCACACCGCTCTGGATAGTCGACTAGGGTGAATACTTGGGTTTGTTGAGGCTCAAGCCATATGAGAATCCAAAAGTACCTCGGTTCGTGTACTCATGAACAACCAGTACTTACACTAAACCTACCCTGGTAATGTTGAATTATTGTCCAGAATGGTGTGATTCACATAGTTTTTTTCTTATCCTTCAATTAATCTGGTGGACCTCGATGTGATCAGATCATTGGTCGTATTGCATTGTGCTAATATATCACATAGTTCTTCTCGTTGCATTATTTGAAAAATAAGTCATCAATTTAATTTAACTCGATTCTTCCTAATTTTTCACCAAAATGACCTAATATTTTTTTAAACATTCCTCTCTTTCATAAGTTAATTAATGTACAAACAAAACTTATTTTCTCTTGATTGTGTATTGCCTCACTTTGAGTACACAGCAGTTTTTATCTCCCTAGGCCACTACTACTACTACTGTGGTGTGTGCTACTTATATTGACATAAGTAGTATATGATGTTAGCCGTGAACAGAAGGTCTGGCAGCAGAGAGACAAGAGGATCGAACAGTAAAGAATGGAAACAGGATGCAATTTGTATGAAAATGCAAGAACAATGAAGTCTGAGTCATTTTGAGACAACTGGTGGACATTTTGCAAATTAAGCATTTACTTTATGATTGTCAGATTTTACTAACAAGTCCTGTAATTTTGTGTTAAATACATTCGATTGTCCTCACGCATGTTCTGTTTACTACACTACTACTTGACAAGTATATTTATACAAGTTTTGTAACAATGTTTTCCCCCGTTTAATGTACATTATCAGTATTCATGCAAAGTTTTCTCTCCTTTTTTCTTTTTCTGCATTCAAATGTCGAGGATTGGTCACGCACAGTTTTACATTCGATGAGAAATACAGGTTTTCTGAACCAAACTTACAGTGTACGTTGAGCTATGAAGCTTCTGATCTAATGTATTCCGTACTCATTGTAGATCGAAACTTAACAGATGCACAGAAACACTGAAGGAAGTTGAACGTAAAAACTTACAGTATTATGCTCTTTTAAGAATTCGGCAGCTTGTTCTTCTGAGTCACCACCGATTTCGCCAAGCAGGATTATTGATTTTGTATTAGGATCGTTTAAAAACACCTCAAGACAGTCGGTGAAGTTTGTTCCATTAAATGGATCGCCACCGATTCCAATACACAGGGATTGACCAAGACCAACCTACAATTTGGTGATTCATAATAATACGTTACTTGAAATGGTATCTTGAACTACATATAAACAGATGCATTTTGAATAAGTGTCACAATTGATTACCACTAGTTTGGATTAGCTGATACACGTGACAAATGGAATAATACTTCTCGAATTCCTAGCCTGTGACGACTATAAAAAATATGTAACATGAAGTAACTGAAAAATAGAGAACCCCAGTGGAAAAACGACTTATTTTTCTATAAAAGTACATTTGTATTATATTAGTATTGTGTCTGAGTTCATTCTACCGAGCTAAGGAACGATGATGAAACAAAACAGGAGTTACTATAATGTTATAGGTAGAATGGAGATGTACGACGTTGGGTTTACTGATTTCTAGTCAGTAATATTGGGAATACAGTACTGTGCTACCACATGATCTTAAACAATTTATCGAAACGAATAGTTTACGGACTCGTGAAAATTGATAACTAATGAATAAATGGGAATCCCGAAGTAACATTATCTTATGGATTAGGTCTACGAGTCAAAACAAAACGCTAACGGCTATAACTGGTTTCTGTTCGGTGACTTCTGTAACAACACGAACTTGATTAATACTTTCAGTGTTCACACAAACCCTAATGTCGTGATTTAGGATTCACAAGGTCAATCCAGACACAATCGATGTAGGACCTAGCGAAAGTGTGTTCGTTCAAGTTTAACTCAGTTTCATTTTGCCATTGGATATGCTCTAGACTCTATTAACACTTGTATGCACATCTTACATTCTACATAGACTATCTTCTGTTTCATTGTTATATCCTGTCCCTTCTTTTCATTAGTCTTTCTACATTGGTAAGTCATCGATCTAATTTTCAAAACTATTCTGCGCATCTCATTGCTTTGTGATTGGTTGTTTCATTACCTTACGTATGACCTAGACGATCATGAGATTCGATCACATGTCCTTAGGTCATTTTATTCTAACTATTAAGAGCTCTCGTTCTAATCATTTTATTTGTCTCGTATTGCTATTTGCTTTGGCTATTTGATAATTCTTGTTGAATCATTTAAATTGTCACGGATTTCTCTGTTCGGGAAATTTCTAAGACAGAAGTGCTATATTCGGAGTTTGTTCACTTATTAGTCTAACAATATTTGCATTAAGAGCACCGTATGTTATGTAGCTTTTGGAGGGTCCTTTTCATTTCTTGGGCTTTGCTGAGACAACTATCAGTTCTTCGTATTTGCGTCCTGTTGTTTTTACACGTTACATTATTAGGTCTACATAGAGTAAAACATACTTAATATCTATAACAATTTATTTCATCCTGCTTGATAAATTACTGTTTGAGCTGTTGAATCACAAAATGATTCCAGGCTTTAAGTTGTTAACTAGTGAGATAGCTGGGATATATTGGAACCATGAGTTACTTAAATTTTAGACATCCTATTAGAATTCCTATTCAATACAATTTGCTTACATTAAAGCCTTTTGAGAAAACAAAGAAATATGGTAATTTCTGGTAGGCTGATGTGTAGTAAATGTTGCATGACAAACTTTGAGGTGAAGAAATATAGAGTCACTTAATAGATCTAGATGATGTACGTGAATCAAATGTAAATAATGTGGAAATGGTTGTGATATACCATTGGCTAATATATAATCACGACTTATAGCATCAATATAAGAGCCAGGAGTTCCCCATTTAGAATGATGAGACAACTTACATCAGTTTGAGCAGCTGGACAGTATCATTAGCTCTTTCATGATTGTGGCCCAGAGGAGTGCGTAAACCTGTATTTGGTAAGTAGTTTGGTTTAAAATATAAAATCTCCAATCCAAAAATACATGCTCGTCATAAGAGTTAATGCTAATTTTAACATTTTTCTTAGCACATTCTAGGATATTAAAATCATCTGTCACGAAGAAAATAAGCCCCGGATAGTGAATTGAAGGTTTTTAGAAGAGAAGTCACGCCCCCTGGTTTATTCTAGGTTCAGTAAGCTAAGATACGGAAGGCCAAAAACTTAAAATGCTCACATGGATACAGATACAGTCAGATCTTCGGCATTTCCATATCGAATGAGAAGACAGAACGACAGCTGGTCGTGAGAATACTCTTTTCATCCGTTTTTTCAGTTACACCGGCCAATACGTATAAGTTGACTGACATAGGAACAGTAATGAGTAATCTAGTAAATAACTTATGCAATTGTCAAACGTTGAAATAAATGGATATACTAGATAATTTGTCAAATACCTGTGTAGTTTGAAAGACAGCTTCGTAAGTTAATGTCCCCGATCTGGATACTATTCCTACCGTTCCTGGTTTATGAATATGTGCAGGCATAATACCAATTTTGCATACGTCCGGTTTTATTATTCCTGGACAATTTGGTCCAATTAATCTTGAGGCAGACTAGAGATGAATAAAAAAACCCATGATACACAAAAAGTATTTGGAACGTAATTGGAGAACGCTGAGTGAACTAAACACATTGAACTGAATGTAGAAACTAGCGTAGTGTAAGTATTAAGCCGAGTGAATGCGAACCATTAACAATAACAACACACTGGTTATAAGGACGACCCCTATCACAGAAACGATGTTTAACATTATTTAAGCATTGATAACTTGCAATATCCTTTTAGCGATACGGGTGCGTTTAGACTGTTTGTCTCTGATTCTTAAGAAGTAAACATGATGCACTTTTAATTGGTAACAAATATTACATTTACGAGGAAACCAGCTGTTTCGCATTATTATAAGGTGTAAAAGTTGGTAAGTTAAGTTCAAAGAGGGAAATGTATAAAAAAGAAACTGTTTTCAACAACATATCAAGAGATAAACAGTAAATCTGTATGACATTTATTAGCAAATAATAACAAGGTAACGTCTAAAATTTATTAGGTGAATATTATTAGAGTTTCGGAGATATTTCTTATATGCCTGAGGGAGGCGGCAAGTTGATCGTCTAACGTCATCAACTGGTCGGAAATGTATATACAATAGGTACTTAATTACTTTAAGAGATATAATTCTATGAGCAGTACATGTAGTGTGCACTGTAAGTAGTGAACATACATTTAAACAAGATGGCACTGTAGTCTGGTAGTGCAATGGTGACACCAAAGTACAGGACACATGAATATACTATTTCTGATATGAGTCACTATATTACTCTGTCGAAGCTCCATTATACAGAAGTGACTCTTTTAGCAGGCTAAGGTTTGTTATTTATTAATATCAAGACGAATCACTGAGAAGTGCATTTTGCTTAACATGACTTGGACCAAGCTTCAAGTGTTTCGTGAATACGCTCATATAAAAACATCACAGATAAATAAAACCTAGATTTTTATTTTGGTAGTGGTAGTAGTAGGGAAAACAACGTTTTGGAAGAAATGTCTTAAATGGAACTAATAGGTGTACTTCTGAGGAAATATAAGTCATTAACAAAAGCAGGAAAAATGACTAACTTTCCAATACAATATCGGTGACAACTATTTGGTTGTTAATAGATATGAGAAACAAACTTTAGGATAAGTCCCAAACACTAAAGAAAAGCAATTTATTTTTGAGTTTCTAGTTAGATGCTGTAGAATGTCTCAGAATTATAAATGGTGACAGTTTTATTTGCTATCTATTTAGAGATTTTCTTGTACTATTCCCTCTTACAATAGTGCTCCCTTGTCTCAAATTGCGTACTGACATAGACGCCTTATCATTGTTTTATAGACAAACATGCATTCTACAATAGTCCTTGAAAATATAACTTTTGACTGAAATTATGAAACTACATTACCTGTTCAGAAAGACGCTTTCGTACACGTATCATATCATGTTGTGGGATACCTTCGGTTATACAGACAATAAGAGGAATCTGTGCATCAATAGCTTCATGGATAGCAGCGGCAGCATGAGGTGGTGGCACGTAAATAACAGTGGCTGTTGCACCTGTAGCTTCCTTAGCCTCGTTCACAGTGTTGAAAACAGGTAATCCAAGGTGGGAACTGCCTCCTTTACCAGGTGAAACTCCACCCACAAGTTTTGTGCCATAAGCAAGAGTTTGCTGAGAATGAAAAGTTCCTTGTTTCCCCGTAAACCCTTGACATATCAATTTAGTCTTGTCATCCAACAGTATATTTCTGCGAGTACTATTGTAGCATGACCGACGAACCAATCCTATAACTACAGAAACAAGACAATTAGAGAAAGCAAATACAAATATTTTCAAAGCATTCTTTTGCAAATTATTGTTACATCGGTTATGATACTGAAAACTACCTAGCATATCGGAATTTTACCAAATATCATTGCCACTAAAAACTTGAGACATCGGGTGCAATGAGAGATAACTTATGTGGTTCCGTAAACAAAGCATGAAAACAGGAGTGGTAATAAGAAGAAACAGATAAATGACCGGTTTAAAGAAGCTTTGACAATTCAATAATAAAGAAACCGGTTCTAAACAAAGTAGAACCTAGTGCAAATGTACCGGTTCATGATGACACAATATACATTCACATAATGAGAGGAAACTAAAAATATGAAAACTAGGAGTCCAAATGATAGCCAGTGAAACCGGTTTTGAGTCAAGGCTACTTCAGGTTTCCCCGAAAAGAAAGTCTGCATCTTCCAATTAGTTTTAGTTTGACATTCAATGACTGATGTGATTTTTATTCCAGTTAACCTTGACGCTTTGAGACCTACAATTATGTCAACAGGGCATGTGTAACAAATGTTTTGATTACACTGGTTAATAAAGGTTATGTCGAACCAACCCATCGACAAGCGAAGTATGACAAATTTTCAATGAATTCAATTTAGTTGAATTGAACAATAAAATGCAAGAAGTTTGCTTTTTTCACTCGCCCCAAATGCCCTGGTACGGTCGAGAGTGGGGAAAGTCCGCTCTCCCTCTCAAAATGTTCTCACATGGCCACGCGTATATAGCCTCTGCCAGGGAATTCCTACTCATTACCTTCTCGTGGTGAGTGTTGTTTACGAAATTGAGAGGACGAAAAGAGAATGTCTGGCGCTTTAACCGGGTTGGTAGACATGGAGAGTTCACCTAGGGGAGTTGGAAGACCCTGATTCCAAACCAATGGTGCATATGGGCTCTGGTATCCTGAGGGAACAAATGGCATATGAACCAATTATTGGTCACTGGTTACGATAGGACTGCATCTCCTTACGTTGCTTCACTGCCTCGTGGATCAAACCTTCAGGTCGAAGGCTCCAGGTGTGGCCTCCTAAGGAAACCACCCGCTTCGGTTTGGGCATCCGGGAAGTATCACAACCCTCACACATATCAAATGAGATGTGTGGTGCATATGTATTTGGTGACTCCTTGTACCAATATCTATGTGTTGAAATAAATAAATAATAAACTGGTGTTTGTAGCCATTGTAAACATATGGCTTAAGAAATAATGCATCAAAATTGCACTCTGGTATGAAGTCGTAACATAAATTATCGTTGCACTGATGTGAAGCGTTAGCCCCAGTGTAAAAAGAGATATCCTTACATTTTTAGTCAGCTACAACGTGGGACCAGGCACATACATACATCGGGTACAAGTTGCCACACCTCATTAGCACAAGACGAACACAAGATTCATAGTAGTTACTTCAATGGTAGTAATACATAAAAGAAAGATTGTGTATAAGGACGAAAGGATTAGTTCGTAGAAATAAACCTATTTTAATCTCAGGGTTTAAGGGAAGACAAAGAGTGTAAATACCGATACCATCTGTTTTCAAATACTAGTAACTTACAAGTATTTTCTACTCTTAATAGCCACGTTTCGCAGCCGCAAAGTAGAACAGAACGAACTGCCGCGCAATATACTCGTACCCTAATTGCTAGACGGATATCTCGCCTTCGCCATACGTGATGAAAGTTGGCAAAAGCCAAACGAGCTTTCTGAATCCGTGCTGGGATTTAGTCAGACATCAACCCATTCGGGCTGATCAGATTTCCAAGATAAGTGTTGTCAACGCGTTCGACTACTTCACTCTCTATCCTTAGTTCAGGTGTTGACGCAGGCCAGTCCTGAAGCAACAACTTGCATTTAGAGGGGGAGAAGCGCATCCCAAACATCATGGCATTGTTGCTCAGAGCTACCTGAAGACTCTACATTTTATCAGCGTCTTCACCAAACAGGACTGTGTCATCTGCGTATTCTAAGTCAATAAGTGGACCTCATGAGAGGAAATCAATACCCAGAAATTCAGTCGACGAGAACGTTATTTTCAGCAGTAGGTTTATAATAACATTAAATAAAAATGGAGATAGTGGACAGCCTTACTGAACACTACTTGAGGTTGCAAAATCAGATGACAGTTCGCCATGAGCTCTGACTCGACTAGTAGTATTCGACTAAAGGGCCTTCACAAGGTTTATTTGCTTCTGAGGTACACCTTTCAACGACAGACATTGCCACAGAACCTCTCGATCTACAGAACCAAGAAAATCTACCATTGTCGGACGCCAATAATCATGACTATGTTCTAGAACCTAACAAATGGTGAATATGTAGTCGATGCAACCATGACCAGGTCTGAAGCCAGTCTGATTTTCTCGTGTTTGCAGTTCACGAGTCTTTGTTAAGCGTCCGACAATTATTGAGGTTAGTATTTTAGATGCTATATTAGTCAAACTAATCCCTCCATGGTTGTCACAGGATGATTTTGACCCCTTCTTATATATTAGGACGATCAGTGATTGCGATCAATCAGGTGGGATTACTTCCAACTCCCAGATTTTACCTAAAATATTGGTCAACCTAATCGCTAAAACTGGACCACGATTCTTAAAGGCTTCTGGAGGCAATCCATCTAGACCAACTGCTCTTCCTCGTTTCGGATTAGCTATGGCTTTTCAAACTTTAATTAGGGTCAGAGGGCCTACTACAATTTCGATCCAGGCTGTCTGGGAATGGCGGGTAGTTGCAGAGTAGCTGAACTGCTCCGCCCATCGTTCTTAACGTCTTGGCTGAGAGCAGATAAGTGTCATCTTTTTCCGAGATCGTTTCACTTACAGTTGACTTCTTAATTCGTTTCTTCTATTAGCCTGAAAAGTTGCCTAGTGTTACCTAAAGCCACTACTTTTTCCATCTCTTGCTTTCGTTGTCCACCACTGCTCACGGTCGTTCCTTAGACTTGGTTAACCTAGATATGATTTGTTTCCACTCTTTATCATGTTCGGAGCCTAATGAGGTGAGACAAAGAAAATCTGTCAGTGCAATATACTTAGTAGAAATCCACTGTTTTTCCGTGACCATTTGGGTTGAATCACTAATAGATGTCGCTGCCGTTTCCACAGATGTTCGTATATCTTTTCAAGCAACATCTGGGTCAGCTTCGTTTTCAGGATTGCTTAAGCGTGACCTTAGTTGTTCCTGGAATATACTTTTGGCCTTTTCAACCGTTGCTGCTACTTTGAAATGGTGGTCGGGCTTGTCTATCGTAATAAACCAATCGAGCTATACTGGCTGAAACAATAGTTCCTCAAGGTCCTACCACACCAGACAGGCTGGTTGGATAGCTGCAAGACTAAAAGCAGCAAACCCAAGGTCGGAGGGTGAAGTCGCACTGCTGACTGTACAGAGGTGTGACAGCAGTAAGGTGTCCCCTGCAGACAACCAGCACAACAGTGATGCTGCCTTTCCTCAAAAAAGGATTTGGTTAGAAAAGACCTTACACACCTCTCTTTATTCCACAGATTTCCGTCTATGGCAGTAAGGTCCCAACAATTACAGAGCTAACACGGAAACTACTCACAAAAAGGTCGTGTGTGACCGGGCTCAAGCAGTTGTCTCTTGGGTACTGCGGTCACGTTCTTAAGACCACCTACAACCCAATTTCCTTTCCGGGTACCCCGAGAACCTTTCCACGGCGTGGGCAACCGGGAAGTGATAACCGCCCTCATACTTTTAACAGCACTCAAGATACCCACTTTTACGACAGAGAAATTAGCATAAGCAAGTTTTTAAAAGTTTAGGGTGAACTGCTAACGGAGACCCGATTGATAATTGAAAACAAAAACCAAGGCCAGTCACGTAAGCTATGTATCTAGTGGTGACTAGATGCTGAATACGAACCAAGTTTTAGAACATAAACTGTTATTTTGAAACCGCTCAGAAATAATATTTCTTTGTTGACTGAGAGGCTGTGAAATTATGTTCAGTGCTAAGGTTCCGAAATAAGAGTTGAAACGTGATAAACTGTGAAACTTAGAACACAGTTTCACTCTGATTACAGACTAGTGTTACTGTCCTACTTAGATTTTGATTGTATCAGTAACCGGAAACTGCTGAAAAGATTATCGGCATCATTCTGTGGTGTCAGCTATTTATTTTTCATCTACTAGCTATTGCGAAGTCCTTACCTAAAGTCGCTTGTCCCATTAGTGACATGACCTTTGTTGGTTGACAAAATTGTTGAGATCCAAAGACAGAGGTATGGCAACTTGGACCGATGCATAAATATGCCTGGTCCTACGTTGTAGCTGACTGATTGAAACCCAAAGACATCACAACAACCTATTGAGAGTTGATATGTCTTGAATGTGTTTCTACCAATCAACTGAAAACGACATAAGCCTACATCAAAATGTTCCAAATACAAATTTGTAGCTCTTATATGAAGTTAAATAAGTTTCTAACTGTTTGTTGTCCTTGCTCAGGTGTAAAAAGCTTTATGGACAGCTGCACGTCCGGAGGTTTTCCAACACCATAACTTTTCATTACATGGATTAATACGGTCCCATATAACCTTATTGATGTTTAATGTTTGTAACTGGGTATAATGCTTCAGCCAGCAATTTAGAAGGGCATAAACAAAACGGGTCCGACTGCATGAAAAGCTTTATAAACTATACCACGCGTTATGTAGCTTCCTATAGGATATCACTACCTTGAAAATTTAGTGTGCAAATCTAATTACATGGTCGAAATGAGGATTTACGGTTGCACTGTTAGTGGTAGTGCTGGGAAGATTACAAACATACTTGGAGCGAAACTACGAACGTTCCGGGAGTTCATCGACGTTCATAAAACGAGCGAATACAAGCAAACACTAAAACAAAAAATCATACTAGGTGGAATGCTTTGGTGTGAAATGATAACATATTTATATTAAGTTTTATTGTTAGACGTAAACGTAATGTTCGTTGTACGACACCGATGATGAGAGCCTTGTCGAAGTAGCTCTCTTCAATCCTATTGGTAGAAAGATCATCGACAAGTTAGACACAAATGTGTCACGCAAATTCACGGTTAGGAAGCGTCGCAGACTCATAATTGTCTTTCTAGGAATGATACTAGAGAATGGATGATCCACGACACGATGATATGGTATTTACATCATCCACAACTGATAAAGACTTTGGAGCTCTTGTTTCTATCAATGGTACAGTGGAGAAACCCCAATCAGATTATTGTAATGAAGTAAACGACAAACTTCGTTTAGCTGAAGATGTAATAAAATGTCTCGCTGAAAGATGTGAAGAACTGGAAAGTTTAAGCGAATATCTTCCGTGTGTTAGAAAAGAAATTCGTGGCCAAATCGAACAGAGCATGCAAATGATACAAAGGTCTGTAAGTGAAAGACACGACTATTTGTTGAATGAACTTGATTCTTGTTTGAGTGTGAGAAATGAAGCTATAAATAAGTTACATACGGAATTCGAGACTCGACTTCAAAGACTATCTTCACACGTCGATCTTTTGAAAAGACTTTTACATACACAACCCACTAATGAAATCTCCTATCAAACTCAAAAGGTTATTCAAAACACAGTTTCAAGAGATCTTGCTACTCAAAAACATAAAGCTGAGATCGAAAAGCTTATTTCTGCCCCTGTACCTTTGCACCCATCTGAAACTGATACTATGTCATTCTTTCCCACTGATTTAGATCAGGTTTTGAGTATGGTTAAGTGTGTTGGCTCTCTCGGCTTAACTGCAGTTGATGCTCAAAATACGAGCTTATCTGATAACTACTTGGATCATTTTGTCTCAGTCAGACGCTGCCAAGCGAACGAAGAAGTCAAAGTCGATATTATCACTAATGACAGGTTGGGCCGTGCAGTAGCGAATGCATCCAGTAAGGAATTTTCAGTCCTCTTAACTCAGAAAAACATCAGTGAGATGGAGGTTGGAATTCAAGAGAAACAAATATCAGACAGCGGTTCTAGTCTTTCACTTTATAGCAATCACAATGGAAATAACATTCAAGGAAATAATTTACAAGTGGTTTATAAAATTTCTCATCCTGGTTTGTACGATCTTAGAATTAAATTATTTGGTGAACACATAAAAGGATCTCCTTATTGCATAAGTGTTGATACTCCTCCTAAAGCAAGTCTACAAGCAATATCTGAAACAATGAGAGAGATTAGTGAATTACCACGTCGTACACTAAACAGAATTCAATCTAGAAGACGTTGTCAGTCTGAACCTGCTTATTCAAATTTATCTGATCAGCCAACAGCATTAGCTGATCTACATAAAATGGAAAGAGGTGACTTTTTATATTCCGTTGGTACAAAAGGAAGAGGTAATGGTGAATTTGCAAACCCATCTGGAATATGTATTACAAGAGAAAATAAAATACTTGTCGCTGATAGTAACAATGCATTTATTCAAGTAAGTTAATTTATTTTTATAAGCTTTTTAATACATTAACACATTATTATTATAATTAATATTTATTATTACCGTTTACATAATTTTAAATCTAAATACATTTATCAGGTCGTCATGTTTATATATACAACGGCAATATGAAAAACACATTTTACTCTATATTGTCGAATTTTATTGTAAAATCAGAAATAGTCTTAGAAACAATAGTCGCACGACTTTTGAAGGTACTGTATTTCAATGAATACTTCTATTTTGATTCACTCATTCATTCCGTCAATCAATTAGTCAGTTTATCATGTAATCATTTTTTTCCCCTAAAATCTCAGCATTTTAATCGAGAAGAATACTTTCTAAGCTAAATGAACAATTTAAATACCAGATTGGACTGTATTCATTTGATTTGACTGTTAGCCCACTTAACTACTTATCGTACAAGTACATTCTGAAAGTTTTTTTTTCATAAAGTATTTTACAAAATATAGCTTTTTGTATTCGATTATGTTTTCACAAATATTTGTGTTATAAGAGTATTCTTGAAAAATATCGAATTCTCTAATTTATAAATATAGTTTATCAATAATTTCCTTAATGTGAACACTAGCGTTGATTAAAGATTATGTTAGATGTTAGATAGTGACAACACATTGATTTTACATTTTAACTAGGGACAACACACAAATACTTATACCCTATAGCCATAAATTCACAATCTAATGGCTTTGCATTAAAAATGAGTTACCAATACGTATTAGCAATAATGTTCTAATAAAAGAAAATACTGAAATAAACTAGTTCATATATTTCCCTAATTGAGGTATTATTAACTTTTTTGTTAATAAAATGAAACCTAGAAACTCAAGAAAGTCCTAGTGTCTAATATAAGATTTCATAATTTAGATTTTATCATATACATAGGGATTTGTAATGCTGAAAAATTATCTTATCTATATGTTCAAGGAGTTCGAATTAACCTTGAAAAGAAAGGTTACCATTTTACTTTAAAATGGGAAACAAACACTTATCAAACATATGGCTTTGTGACCATCGTCAACTGAGTTTTAAATAAAAGTTAGTACTAATGTTGTCGGAAATCATAATTATCTTGATTGAGTCACTAGAAATGCATTTTATTAATCTTTGAAGAATAATACAATAAGTATAGTTCAACATTCATTTTAAACGTATTGATATAATGGTGGAGTTCTTTGTGCTAAATTTCAGTCTGATGACACAATTACGTCAATAAATATTTTTGTTGAATAGATAATCCATTTAAAGTTGTTTTACGATCAGTAAACATTTAGAAACTTTTAACATTAATTTTTTATAACAAACTTATTCTTATGTCTTATCCCTTAGTTCCGATTCTACGTTTCATAGTATGAGTTAACTAATTATTCATAAATTCAAATTTACTGAATATTACCTTATCGCATCCGAATTTTGTAAACTGCTATTTCTTACTAAATATTATAGTTACACTTTAGGGAATTTAAGACATTTAACAGTCATTCTAATATCTGAATAATAATATTCATAATATTACGTACATCAACTTTACATGGAGATAAAACACATTGGTCAAGATTCATTTTGTTTCTGTTCAACTTAAAAAAAACTGTTAATTAAAAATCTTCAACAATCAAATTAATTTATTTTGAAGCTAAAATTAATCTATAACTAGTAAACGTTTTAGTAATCAAATGAACTTAACCACAGATGGCTGTTATATGAATATAACATGTTTGATATCAATTTATCCATTTGGACTATTTAAACCCAATGACTTAGTGTATAATACGTTGATGTTTAGAGATAAAGGTATTGAGATCGAGTTCTATTGTGAACAGAATGCAGGTTCATCTAGCTGATGAGTCCTAGTATAAGAACGAATATGGTAATTAGATTCTACTGCTAACCATCATACAGCTTTATGAAAAAAATATGACTTGATAGTAAAGTCGAAGTGATCCTCTCAAGATGTATTTGTACTAAAAGAAACTGACCAATTGAATTTTGTAACGCCAACTATTAGAAAATGTAAACCCTCATTGATGTGTTTAATCTATTATTCAGTATATAAGTCATAAGTTGTATATCTTCATATAGTTAACAGTTAATTTTAAAAACATTGGATCTATGCTTTTTCTGTTTCTAGAGTCTATTTAATTAAAAAAAATAATTCTTTATAAAAACACTGTGATGACTTTTATGTTAGAAGTCTTTTATTTGTATTGGCTGTGATTTTTTTGTATTCTGTATTTAAGCCGATTTTAGGATTAAATGCAGTCGGTTATTGTGTAAATATTTATCCTTCATTTTGATTCATTTTACAATTATCTCGATACACGATCATGTGAGTTTTCCAATGGTAATAACAAAAAAATATTTACATTTCTTACATTTAACCTTGTCTTTAAACCATTGGAATGAATAACAGTAATAACGATAATAATAATGGTAATAATAGTAACAATGTGACTTATTTAGAGATGATCCTAGTGTAGTAAAAATTTCCAAAGTATCAAAACAAAATACTGCATATTATGAACAAGAACTGTCAGTATTATATGATCAGTGTGGATTAGGCCTCGAGTCTTCCTTTGTTGGTCCTGGTCGTCAATATATCTGTGAATGATACTTTATTGTCTGATTAGGTTTTCAATGTGAACTAATATGGTTGAAAATGTTTTTCATCAGATTGCAAGTCTTGTCCATTTAGTCTCTTTGGATGATAATGGATGTATCGTACAGATAGCGTGTTCAAAATTTCGGTTTGATTATCGAGAAGACTAAAGTTTACAGTCTCTGGATACTATTTATGTCACAAATTTAGATACTAATGATCCCACTTGGGTTATTTTCGTTTGTTTGTATATTTAGCCGTTGAATTAAAAATCTGGTGTTAGACACAATTAGATGAGATCAATTAAACTATGATTTCATGTACTTTTAAACTAATACGAGTTTAAGAAGAATAAAGAAATTAACTTGCTACTCATATGAAGTTCAGTAAAAATTCGAAAGACTAACTTCACAAAATTTAGGTTATTAGTAGTGGATATTAGACACAGAATCATATTTGTAAAGAAAACTTCAGCCATTGAAATTAAATGACTCCAATATTTCTCCTGCTAATCTGGATAACTATTTTCATAAAAAGGTTTGAGTCAGATCGCTGGGCAAAGTTCTTGGATTTCAAGGTTCTGGATACAATATCCGGTTGTGTTATGAGTGCGTACTTCTGATCATTTCCAGCATCAATCAGTTTGGGTGTCTAGTGTTGCTTGAGTTTAGATGATCCATCAATTACAGAGAATCTGTAGAGGAATCCATTCTAGAATATGATCTTAGGTCTCATGATTGTAATCCTTAACTTTATTTTGATGGAGTTTTGTTCTCTGAGCTGGATGGTTTGGTCGTGCAAAACTCCATCAAAACCATCCACCTGAGCTACTAATCTTCTCCACCATCTCCTTAAATTTATTTCAATTATGTAAGATAGTACTTGTTAACAGTCTTTAGTTGTGTGCCACATTACCGAACCTCATGAGTGGTGTAAAATGTTTATACACCATTAGCTATAAATGTGTAGTCTATGCTAAAAAGTAGAAGAGTTGTCAGTCATTTAAACGATAAACTAGATGAGTATTTCTGTGCAATACTCGCATTGTTAGAGTTTTCAATAAACGAGATGCTGTAAATTAATTGACACCGATATTTTTAAAATATGGACAAGAAGTAACTGTATTGGAGCTCCGAAACAGAAAAACTTCAGGGAACCACTTCTAGCAAGTAAACGTGGTTTCGAAATTACGGTCAGTCACTACCACATTTTCAGGAGGATTGCTATGGTATAACAGTCATCCATTAGCACCTCTGTACAATTTTTAAGACTATAACGTTTTCTAAAATATAAATCATCATAACTTGTCCACGAGTAGGGAATAAATATGCTCATTAAAAAAAGAAAGTCAAGTATGTGCATCGAAAAGTAATGGAACACAATAAAAGTGAGTAACAAGAGGAAAAAGTGATAATTATGAGGCATTTCACTAACCAAAAATAAATTTGAATAAACTGTTACACATAATCATATTATTACTATGAACAAAACTATTGAGGTATTTTATTGAGAAATATATAACTACTAGAATTTCATTCATTATTCTGGTTTCTCTCAAAATCAATCTTAATGATAGTGAATACTGAGGTTTTTGGGTAAAATTATGCGATGAACATACTTCAGTAAATAAAACTGATACACTTTCCATTTTATCTATACTTAATAAAATAAATATGGGAATTTTCACGTAGAATATATAAACTATAGCTAACAATGAAATTCAGGATGGCTAATATCATCCTCATCGAATGGATATACTTGCATCCTAGAAATGATATTCACTTCAGGCTCCTAATTCAATGCTATATAAACTTGAGACTATGACATTTGATCGAGACAATCGGTATAGGATACAGGTAACGTCAACTAAAACTGATCAAAATCCAATCAAACTATCAATAACAAAATAATACAAGCCATTAAAAATTAAAGTGTGAGAATCAGTAGAACAGATTTTTCTTTCTTTATTTCTTTTTTTTGTATAAAAATATTCGTTACAATAATTTGGATGGAATATTTCTACCAATAAACTAATGACAAAATATATCTGGGAAAAACAGTAATATCTATGTACATACTTCTTTCTCTTTTTTTTTCTAACATAAAACATCATCTATAGTAATCGTAAAATCATTTATAGATAATTTTTTTTTGAGATGGTGGAGAAGATTTATAACTCAAATGGATGATTTTGATGAAGTTTTACACGATCAAACCATCCAGCTTAGAGAATAAAACTCCATCAAAATAGATATTTGTTCTCTCTCTTTTTTCTCCATTTATTTTATTATTATCTGAATGAATAAAATGAGAAAAATAAATTTTTTTTAAAAAAAAAAGTTAACTATCAGTTTCACTCTTTTTTGTTTTAATAATAAAATGGGAATTTTTTGTAAAATTTATTCCTAAATTGAATACTTTTATTGATTTTTCATTTATTCAGTTGATATAGTACTTGATATATTATTATTATTACCATTATTACTATTACTATTATTATTATTACTATTACGATTATAATTACTACTGGTTAGCGTTTTTTTGTTAGCGAGTTACTGACGTTCTACTATTTGAAAATGACATATATTCTATACAAGTTATTATTCAAGTTAATAAATCATTTCTTATCTAACAGTTATTTTTATGATGCCTTTAAATCTTACTTTTTAATTAATTATAAGTGAGATTTTTATGATAATTTATGTCAATCTTATGATAGTTAAGTGTGAAAAAAACGTGATTATTGTATGTGCATAGATGGATATTTTTTTAGTTAGATTGGAAAACAAAAATGGTAGGGTTAGTGTAGTCCTAAAAGTAGCTGATAAATGGCTAAAAGAATAATCTAGAAGAGATAATAATGATCATATTAATGTGCCATATCAAATATTTACAGCCAAACAGTCAGTTTACTTTACTATTGAATAATTTTCTAATGATAGACTATCTTTAACCGGGTTTTGAGATGAATCATGTACATGTAATATATTAATTATGTTTCAAAGTACATTATACATAATTGTTTGATGCAAGAAATTTATTACTATATAATTTGATAGCTGAGTTGTTAAAGTGTATGTAATAATTATCTTCAAAAGAGATCTTAATGTTTGTTATTTATGCCTAGTTATAACCAATTTTTTGCCTGATAACATGTTCAGTGTCAAAATATACAAAAACATTTATCTGTCAAATATAAGTTCAAAGAACAACATAGTTTATACATTCATGTTTTAAAACTTAATGAAATGCTTATCAATAAATATTTTGATGAAAATGCTCTAATCACCTAGGTGAACTACAATTTAGCTAAATACTAAATGTGACATACTTATAATTGGCTTTTTCTTTTGTTATTATTATTACTATCATCATTACAATTTCAGACGTTTTCACCGACAATTTCTTATTTATGCAATGTAATTTGAAGTTAATCACTAAATCTGGATAAATTATTTGCAAAGTTATGCTTTTTCAAAAAAAGTACTTAAATTTTATATTGATATTAAGTTATTTGAGGCAGTCGATATGAAGCCCTGAATGTTAATTTCATACTAGTTCAGAGTTGTCAGCAAAGCCTATCCATAATTTTCCACAAACTTATCCCTCCTCTCCCCATCGAATTCAAATCCTCAGAATTCATTGTTACGGCATATATCAGCGACGGTTTCTTTTAAAACATGAACAATTAATCACAATATCATCTATAAGATATTATAGTTTATAATTAACCTAAAAAGTGTATGACAATGAAATAATATGTTTTAAATATCCCAATGAATAGAAGTTCATTTCTTATGGCTTAGTGTAAGTCGCTTTTCCTAAAAATAAATTAATAACCGAATTCATTCAACACAAAGTCAGTATATATGATCAAAAATGTGGAATTATGGACTACCTAACTCCGATGTTTAGGTTATGAGAGCTGAATGTCCTACTTTTGATCACTTGCAGGGTCATGAGTTCTTAACACATAAAATTCTCAGACCAGAACAAAGCACCTCTTTAGTGTTTCCTAGTTTTCAATTGATAGAAATTATATTCAAGTCATTGTGTATGTTTGTAAGAAGTGAATAGGAATGGAAAATAAAAAAAATCGGGCAGTTGTGTTTCAGTGAAACATTGATTCTAGCAGGTATTTTTCATCAAGTGGTAAATGAGTCATCTGGATTATGGAGAGGACGCTCCTACTTGTGTTTTGATTTTACCGTTTGAGTGACTATTATACAAGAGTCTAGCAATATTGCTAATCCACTTATTTTTAAAATGTTTACCATTGTTTAATGATGACAATTTGTTTGCTACGATATTCATTTAATACATCATATAATTTTCAATATTACCATCTGTTGGTTTTACATAGGTTTTTACACTTCAAGGTCAATTTATCTTTCGTTTTGGAGAGTATGGATATCACCCTGGTCAGTTAATGCGACCGGTTGATGTAGCAGAAACAATCAATGGGAATTATCTGGTTTCAGATTATGATTTACACTGTGTGACGGTATACAATACAAGTGGACACTACATGTCTAGATTTGGCCAACGTTACCTCTCTGGTCCTAAAGGTATGGTTGTAGACAGTCGTGGACGTATTGTGGTAGTCGATCAAAAATCTTGTATGATTTGTATTTTTAAGCCAACTGGAAAGTTTATCAATCGCTTCGGTGCACGCGGTCTAGCTGATAATCATTTTGGCAATCCAATATTTATAACTGTTAATTCACGAGATGAAATATTTGTCTCAGATCATGTACATCATTGTATTAAAGTATTTGATGTAAATGGACTATTTTTATTTAAATTTGGAGTGAACGGAATTGATCCGGGTATGTTACATGCTCCAACAGGTATTGGATTTGATCGATTTGACCATATTTATATCAGCGACTGGGGGAACAATCGGGTACAGGTTAGTATAATAATAAATGGAACTTATTCATGCGCTTATTATAATAATTGTATGTAAAAAAAACTCCAGTTGATAGCTTTTATATTAATTACTGATAAAGTTAAGTCTATATAAAGCCTTGGTATTCAAGTTTTGAGTTACAATCTAAAATATAAATTTTTGTTTACTTAGAAATGTCCAACTATAAGTAAAATATATAGGTGTTATAAAGTTTTAAATTTGATTGGTTTACAGTTGTTATAGCTCAGTTAAAAAAACCTATGAATTTCTAGGCAAGAAGAGACAGTCCTCTGTCTAACTTACAGGTATAAATTTGTTACGATCTAAAAATGAAAGTGCCATCGCATGTTTTGAGATTACATTCTTGTAATGATACTAAGCGGATGTTTTTACTGGCTTAGTATCGTGCTGAAATATGTTTAGCTAGTTATTTCTTAACTGTTTACTCAGTGTTTCAGATAATGAAGTTGAATAAAAAGACTAAAATGTTTTCGTATTTACTGGGTATAATTATTTGAAAGTCAAATGTTATTTGTGTAAAGAAATTTTAATAAATTTTGTATCTTAAGCAATGTACAATGTCTCAAAATTATACTGGAAGGGTAAAAACGGAAACTATGTCTGTATGCAACCAACTACTATTATGTTTTCTCTTAGAAAAGAAGGTTGAAAAATGGTGTCTTAGATACCTAATTGTTAATCATTTGACATCTGGATAGTATCACTTGTTATATACAAAATATGAATAAAGGAAGCAAATAATAAGAAGTCTTCTTCCATAAAATACTTTAATGTATTCACCGTTGGTTTTTATACATTGGCGACACAAATCGGTGATTCTATGCTGATTTTGAAAGTGTCACAATAAATTTTACTTCAGACAAGTGAAAAATGTGATTATAATATCACGTTTAATTTGTTCTTAAAGGTTTTTTAAATATGAATACCTTTTGTAGCAAAATAATCGATTAGAACAGTCTAATGTAAAGATAGTAATTACTTCCAGATTGAATGAATATTTAATTGTAGACAAGTGAAACTAGGTGTCCAGATTTTAAATATTTAGCCATATATTACAGTAAAATAATGAACCTAGATATTATTCTATAAGATGATCCGATTGTGAAACATTAAACTCGATATTAGAATTTTCCTGTATGCGATAAAATTTTAACTTGAGATTAGACTTGCATAAGGGGATGGTATTCGATATAGATAAAAAGATAGATTATGATTTACTTCACTAAGTTTAACTAATTTATATACATTTATTGTAGTTTATGTATTTTAAATCAAAATTATTAATAATATCTTGCCACAGTTGATAAGCATATTTATGCGATAGCGATAGTTCTTAGATGATATTAAAAGCAACCAGCATGTTATACGTTATTCAATTGACCCATGATCTCAACTATTAAAATTACTATAATATACACAAAATCACTCCTGATACTATTCACAATATACTCACTGTTGTGAGATACTAACTCACTGGACACAATGTTGAATGTGTCGCTTAATTTCTTGGATTAGTTGAAGTTAGACATTAACACCATTGGATGTCGGCTCAGTGGTCTAATGGTTAAGCGCCCGCGCGTGAGACTGATAGGTCCTGGTTTCGAATCTTGTGAGGTGGGATCTTGGATGCGCACTACTGAAGAATTCCACAGTAGGATGAAACGGCCGTCCAGTGCTTCCAGATTTTCATGGTGGTCTAGCTTCAAAATTAAGGTAAATACATTTTTAGGAGGTTGATAAAAATACTATAAAGTTCCTATTATAAGAAATTGTACGATGCTCCAAAATAGTGAGTAAATTCTACACACATAGTAGCAAACGTATTACTTACAAAAATTATTATTTTGTATTAATAATTAAAGTAATATATGCTTTCAGGTATTTGATCAAAATGGAAACTATTTACGTATGATTGACAGTAAACTGGAGACATTAAGCGGTCCTCAAGGTTTGGCGCTGCATCAAGTATCCAATAAACTTCTTGTTGTAGATCCAGGCAATTATTGTTTCAAGGTATTCAATGCCAATTCAACAAAAGATCAAGGCCGACAATCATCCATATTCGTCAGTCGGAGTTAGTGGTTTGATGATTACAAATTTGAAAAAAAAACATTGAGATTTCAATAATGCCTTTCTTATAATTACAAAACTAAGCTTCCTTAATCCTACCTTTCTCTCCTATGTACAAAAGATGACCTAATGGAGCAATTTTTCTTTGTATAGGATACTTTTTATGAATTTCCCTTGGAGATTACAAGATTTTCATCATAATATTCTTTATCACGAATTTAATCAAATTTATTTGAATATTTGTGTATGCATTTATATTTAAGACATGGTGACATATACCTCACATTTTGTCAGATATATGAACACATTCATTGAGAAATCGCTCAGCATGATTATTGCTCAGCTCAATGGCTTTTTATTAGTTACCTGGATTTAATTAACTTTCAATATTACTCAAAATACTTGATTTACTGCAAAATTTATTCTTAAATATTCATTTGAAATAAGTAGAGTAATATATAATTGGTAGGTTGAATTGTTTCTAGCTTCATTTAACATTTCTCAAACATGATTTAATGCATAAACTTCTAGTCATAGGTTATTATGTAAATAAAATCACAAATGATTTACAGTCTTTCTGAAAAGAAAATCTATGTTAGAGCTCACATTAATTTATCATAAATACATCATTTATCAAATGTAATTATTGGGAACTAACTTCAATACTCTGTCATAATGTGCAAAATATTAATTGATAATTTGAAATTCATTTGATTTTCATTAATCTTCAGATATTTCATTGCATGCCAACTGGTCATAGTGTATTTAATTTCCAGGCATGTTCATTCTATCTCATACGTTTGTACATATGGTAAGAGAAGAACAAAATTATGATCGTGTACTCAGTTGTTTGGTTATCTTGTTTGTTATTTAGCTGGGGATGCTTAATAAATTTACTGCACTAGTCAATCCAGTCTTGTAAGCCATTATCACTCACTTAATTATCATCAATGTAGAGTCTAAAACAAATATGCGTTGGCCCAATTTGCCATACCGTGTTAGCACGATGTAATAAAATCAACAAGTTGAATTGCAAAAGATTTCTATACAATGCAGTAAAAGTGACGATGCGAAAGATTAAACATTGAGAATATAGTTCAAAACGACAATTGAAAGGTATATATGAAAGAATGTTGAAATCAAATGTTGAAAGGAAGATGAAGGGGAAATTTACCTGGTTCATTGTGAACGATTCTGAGTTATATCACCTAACGTCTCCAGTCACTGATCGAGGTTATCGTAATTGGCGTAATGAGGTAATCCACACATACTATCATGTCCAGAACAACAGTGAGTGGCTTCATGGTCTGATGCCGAGTATTTATTTGGCTTCCACTAGCTTCCAAATTAATTCTGGGCCGCCCTGGGTGAGCAGCGGTTGATCATACATAACACTTATCCCAACCGCTTTAGTTAGTGAAGATTTACAGTCTTATCAACCAATACGCTATCTTTCTTTAGTACCCTATATCTAACTTCAACAGTGATTACTCGATAGTTTTACGACAGGCGAGAAATACTTCTAAAATACTTATGATCAAAATGAGTAGCCTACATTTCTTTACTTTGAACACGGGCCTCTATGATTTGCGGCATGCAAATAATAAGACAAAACTGGTTCAGATGAATATTTTTATTGACTGTCTAAAATAATTTGAGATAACTGATGCTGGCTACTGGAAATCGTGAATCGCACAACACAAGTAAAAACTTAAGAAGACTGTAGATTAAGATTTGTTTTACACCCAAATTTAATCAAAGCCATCTCCAAAATGCACTTATTTTTAGAACGTTTTGTTTGCACTGAAGGACAGGCAAATTTGTATGAATTAAATTGAGTAATAATTGGCATAAATTAATCGATAATTTACTGGAATAATATAGATTTACAATTTCATAAAGCTGACTCTTTCTAATCAAAGGATACGATTAATCTAGTTACTCCTTAAAATGTGACTAAATGTAATAGACAGCTGGGGAAAGAATTATTTTCGTAGACCACTGACAAATACTCTAACGAATTAAATTTTCGTTCACCATGTCAACATGCTTACAGTCTCCCCCCTAAGTCTTTATCATAAAGTGATATCCTATCAAACACTTTTACTGATCATTCTGTCAATGTATGGAGCCGTTTAGAGAAGGACAATTAGGTGAACAATAGGAGAATATCAGAAAGTGTTTTGACGATATTATAGTGATTCTAATAGTTGAGATCATGAGTCAATCGGAGCTAGATCACCATGGAAAACCTGGAAGCACTGGATAGATAGTTTCGGTTACTTTCTAACAATACATAGATTCCCATTGTTTTATGAACTGGGACGTTGTAATATATCAGTGACAAAGCAGAAATAGGCATACAACTGAAAATCTTACAACGTAAAGTAAATACATGGAAGTATGTTTATCCTAAACCGATAGGTAGTTTTCTTTAGCTTCAAAAATTGAATTTTTAATAAATTATATACAATGTATATTAAATGTTTATGTGTTCAATTTCGAATCATATCGTTTATATTATAGGTGACGGTACTATTTTGATGTCTAAATAGAAGTTAATGAAGTGAAATTTTATCTCGGAACCGTAGTGTTGAGTGACCATCGCTTAAACCATTGTATCCTCATCCTAAAGCAGGTACTTAAAATATATGGAATAACTAGTATTAATGATATGGAAAGCATTTATTTTACTATTAACGTAACGGTTTGACTCTTTGGCTATGTCAATCAATAAGATGTTTTATTACATATTAATTTACTTTTTTCCTTAGTCCTAATATTGAATATTTTTAATAAATGTAGCCACAGATGAAAATATTATCTAGCATATATATTTAGAAGCTACGGAATCGTCTTCTGTTTTATTTCATTACTTTGAGAATCTCAGTTAGTACTACCTTGAAAAAAACTAAGCTCCCGATGATGAACATTTATTCATGTGGAAGTTTGAGACAGTGGTAATAAAAACTGTGAACAAGTATGATTTGGTTTACAATCATAGTTTGAAAAACCGACTTTAAAAACTCAAAATTTCTCTTACAACTACCAGATTGAAAAAAGTAGTCCCATCCAAGTACCATATAACCATGAGCTTTGAAAACTTGTGGTGACAATGAATTGAATACAAAAGTTTATTGCTCATAGAATTGAATACAAGTTACAATCATAATAAAGCTAACTAATTTAAATTAAATTAATTTCCACAATGAAAAGTTCGTCACAAATTTATGTTTAGTATCCGTAAGATATAAAATGATGTAGAATAACTTTGGTTTTGAATTGACAAAAGAATACATTGAATTAATCGTAGAAATAATTCTATCATTCTATTAAACTATATCTAAATACAATAAAATGTATAACTGATAAATTAATAGTGTACTGAAATAATCAAAAATAAGTCAGTTGTTCACACAACAAAAACACAGTCTCAATCATATTCACTAACATACATCAAACAATAACAGAACACAATCAAATATTTCAAACACTCAACTACTATTTGTGTCAAACGGTCACAATTATCTTCATTCATCAAATTATGTCAAACTCAGTCATCCTGATCTGTTGTCGACTAATCCCCACATGACAAGTGGACGAGAATCAAATGAATTCATGCAGAATTCAAAGGTTGTGTTTTCCAATGTGATTTGTTAATCAATGGTGTGTACTCTAATTGTTTGTTGAAAAAGTTGGAATATGTGAGTGAAATGAGTTGAGAACATTTCAATGTTTGTTGAAATGGGTGGATGTGAACAGTGAGGATTATTGGAGGTCACTATGAGATTGGTAAGTTGTCGAGATAATAACTTGTCAACTAAATCCTTGGTAAACCACATATCAGGCTTCACTGTATATTTGCATATTTTTTACTTTTAAACAGACTATTCAGGCTATAGAAACTTATTTACTTTGAAGCCGATCAGCGTATAGATAGGCCGTTTATCGAGTTTTGTAACTGCTGGAATATAACTTATTTCTTGCTGCTGGTTATGGTAAATCTGACGCAGCAAGTAAAATACGAAGACGATAGATAGAGATTTATTTGACATCAAAAATGAACTAAAATAATGCCTGAATAGACTAATTTCCATATTATTTACATCACTTAAGAGACAGTTGTGCATACATTAGACTGAATAGTACCTCACATTAATTCAACAACAGCTTGCTCTATGAAAAATTATTTTCAAAATCATTAAGTTAAACGTCTTTAACCAATAGATATAACTGTAATGATCACTTCTTAAAATGTGCATAAATATCAGAGACGACTGAAAAAATTGATTTCGCATGCTACTCGCATTCCAACTAATTAAGCCCTTGATAACTTTATCAGTTGTATATAATTCTATTAATAACTACTCATGCTTTTTAAAACACTTATGTACAAACTCCTTAGGTTTTGACTTAAAAACTTGAGATGGCAGTGTCCTGAAAATCATGTAAATGTACGTTTTAATATTTGTAAACAAAGTGTATGACAGACGAATGTCTGTTATTAAATGCGTCATTAATGACATTGTTTGATTGAGACGGCTCTTTCGTACTAACATAGGATTCGTCAGCACTAGGCACCCATGATCCGGTAAGTGGGACTCAAAACTGGTTCGCCGGTCTCGCGCGAATGTTAAACTCCTAGACCACTGAGTTGAGATCCAACGGTGCAAATATCTAACTTCAGCAAATACACGATACTGTGTATTCTAGGACAAAACGGTCGTCTAGTGTTTCCAAATTTTCGACGGTGGTTTAACACTGATGGGTTCATGATCTCAATATTCTCTAAAGCTTCATCAATTCGTTGAATGAAAAGACAACTAAGTTTGCTTAATTTAATCTCAATTCGTTTGGTAGCATAATCTAGTTACAGCTCATTATCAAAATTCTTTATCTCATTATTTGTATCATTTTTCTGTTCGAGGAATATCCCTTTCGGATATCCAGCATTAATTTTGTAATATACTGTTTATTGATCATGTAGACGACAGTCGATAAATATTGTACTTCAGATTGCCTTTTCTAGCAATGCTTGCAATGGATGTTATTTCTCTGGAAACAGATGGTTTATATCCATCTAAATGAGTTCCTTATTGATATCACTGCCTAAACCATTACATTATACTTACAGGCTGTGCTGAACTTTCTGGGCTATAATTAGTGATCTAAAACTTTGTATTTTCAAGAATGTTTAAAAAATCTGTGATGCTAAATGGTTTCGATTGGATTTTTTCTATTATCTCAAAATCATTTCTCCTAGCAATAACTTTTTGTTTTAGATGGTGAAGAATGATAAAAATGATCATATTTCATGCAACAAAGGTAATCTGTGCTAATATTCGAGAATAATTCACTTCATATTGTTCTCCTAAAATTACATTTTTGATTAAGTATTAGTGAAATTTTGGAAGTGTAATTGATTATGTAGTTTTTTAAAATATATTCAGTCAATCTTAAGAATGTTCTGTTCTGACAAACAGAAATAAGACCACAAGTATCTACATTCCGAGACGAATTCATTCATCACACATCAGTTTACGCCAATGTTCAGGTACAATTTGCTAGATTTCAGAATTG